TCCCTTAGGATCATTGAATTCAGCGTGAACCACAAATCACAGGGTCTGCTGAGAAAACCGCGTCACTGGAAGAAAATGTTGCTATTGCGTGATATGGGATCAATGTACTTTTTGCTATAAATTCACATTTTTATCTGGTAATTTTCCCCTCTCCTTCTGAGTCGTCTGCCACATTTCTTATCAGATGAGCAGAGTTCACCTAAGAGGGATGAACTCACTGTCTCAGTCAAGCTTCTCTACACCGACAGCTTTATCAGCTCCTATTGGCTCGGTGTAACCTTTAGTACTCAGTAACAGTACTGGGAAAGAAATGCATGCAATCCATCCCATCAGATTAGAGGTTCTGCTAACTATTAAGATTGAAGAAGAGTTGAGAAATCCCTTTGAAACAATTTGAAGTGTCTGGTTTTGGTTTTTTTTTTCATGAAGCTCTTTAACACTGGAGCAGAGGCTACCTTCACATACATTTATTAATAGAATAACAGATCTATTCAGTCATGCATAAACCAACAATTCCAGAAAGAGTGCAGCAGAATGCACTCTTCCCATTTCGAACAACATGACTAAAGCTCACTCCCGCTCATGCTTTTCTATCTCCATTTTAATTCTTGCAGCCAAATTCTGTTCTGTGCTGTAAAAACAGTTCTGAACATGATGTGATTAACCTTAGGGTCCCCCCATCCCCTCATCTCACAGCCCCCTCGTACGTGGCCTGTGCTTTCTATTCATGTTCAACCATCTGATTTCCATATCATCCCGCTCAGCCTCCCGAGCGGCTATTAGCATAACAGAGCTTTGCTGTGACATTGATTGAAGCCAGCGCTTGCTGAATGCGGTATCAAAGCATAATTTGCCAGAAATCACATCTAATTTACTATGTACTATTTAAATTTCTTAAAAAAAAAAAAAAAAAGGCAGCAATTTCAATATAAGTATACTAGGTTTGTAATCTTAATTGTTCTTTTTTTTCCTCCCCCCCACCATAGTTTTGGCTAGTCTGCTGGAATCTGAGTGATATATTTCATTTTGGAGGCACTGTCTTTGACTTTCAGATGTTAAGTAAGCAAGAGTTTTTCCACTCTGTTTCTTCCTATGCACTTAATGCTACATCTGAAACAGTAAAGAGTAATAGTCTGATAGGCACAACACTCGGTTTGCTGCTTCATAACAGTTTTTTCAAGAGATTCTTCTAATGACCTTAATGTTTAGCTTGAATGAAGCATTTAAGTACCACATAACTTTAACAGCTGAAGCTGATCAAGTCTGCTGTTATTTCTCTAACTGTACCTTTTCAGAATGTTTTTAAAATTCACCTAATTTGAGAGCAGCAATAATGGCTTGAATAAGTTTTGTCCAACGTTCCACTGAAGCTACGCTTTGAGCAAGTCATGATATCAGTTGGCCTTTCTGCAAAGTGGAAGTAATAATATTTATCCACCTTTATAAACAGCATCTATATATGAACATAATAAGCTCTGCTTTTAGGAAAATTGAAGAGCTCAAGTGCTTATTCTGTCAAAGAAGCCTTACTGTCTCTGAGTAGGGTCACACTGAATTCTCTGGAGATGATGTCTTAGTGTTTGGGTAGTTATACTTGACCAAGAATTTATCCTGCAATTATTAAGTGTTACTTTCACTTTTCAAATTGCACTGTTTGACTAGAAATTGACAAATAAAGCTGATATGGTGAAAACATTGTTTAAATACTATAAACAATATTATTTTAATCAGAGTCTGTCTATAAACAGAGCTATAGCTGAATATGACAACAAACTATAACAAAAGGAGGGTTTCTTTCATTATAGAACCCTGTCTTTGAATAAGTTAAAAAACCCCAAACAACTCACACAATGTTTTATTTTTCCAAAATTATGTTTCTCGTGTTATTTAAGATTATGTTGTTATATAGTTTAGCTGAAGAAACTCTGATGTGAATAAAAGCTCCAATTCATTTATTTTTTTTATAGTAAATTTCCAGTAATTATTGCTGCAGAGGAAACTAGAAAATATGTGATTGCATAGCTAGGTATTGTTGTTTGCTGGGGTCTTTAGAAAGGTTAACTTAGTAACTATGAGGCCGCAGATCTTCTATTCATCTAGTATGGCAAAAGCTGGAAAGGACTTGGTGTGTGGAAGGCAGTGAACGGAACAACAGGATCCATCCTTGTCTGAGCTACAGACTTATTTTCCTTTTCTGTTTTTGGAAAACAGGAAAAAAAAAAGAAAGAAAAAAAAATATAGTTTTTCTGCTCTTAGGAAAGTGAGAGATATTCAAAGTTAGGGATAGGTCAAAAACTGGAAACTAGGTAGGAACTAGGATGTATATCTCTCATTGTGCCTTGACTACCAATTATCTTAATTTGATCCTTGGAAAGCAACAAATTTGGTTCTGTTGTATCTGCTCAGAGCTTGGAGTTATTGATTTACAACACAGCCTTGTGTGTGTGAGAGTGTTTCAGATGAACCCTTAAACTTGCCTGCCTTGCATTTATGCAGTTACATGACTTGAAAGATGGGCTCATGGAAATGCCGAGCCCTTCTTGCTGCTGTTGAGCTGCCTCAGAGCACTGCCTGTATAACATACCCCCAGTGCACCAAGCATGCCTACAGAGTGATCTTGGGCATCCATCATGCTTAGGTTTTATCTATGGGATGGTCTCCTGGCGCCAGGTTTTTAGCATTACAACAGAAAGATTGTGGTCTCAAGGCCACCCATAAGGCAGCATAGACATAGGACTCATGCGTCGTTCCTGTCAAATCAAGGTATAACACCTGGAGAGATTTTCTTCTCTCTGCTGTGCCTGAGGTTGCTGTTGATTCTGTATTAATATCCTGGGCAATGAACTTCTGTGGCTGAGCAGCAAACACTGGGCTAGCCCAGTGACCTTTATTAAGTAGGTGGTCAGAACCGTAGAGATACCTAAGATATGCCTACAGGAAGGGGAGGTTTCTACTTCACAGCTTAAAGGTCTCTCTCTCTTTCTCCTCCTCTGTGACTGACTGAGCTAACACATGCACTGATTATCACACTGCTGCTTCCTGACACCTGTAGGTGTTTGTTGCATACAGATTGCTTGGTAAAACCAGGTGAGGGAAAAACAAGTAACTCGCTGCAGCTCAGCACTTTAAGAGTAGAATAGCGAGTTCACTTCCTAGAGTATGTATAGACACACCTTATAGAAACCTCAAAACATATGGCTATAAACAGGCAGCAGCAGGGCACTAAGGCCTTTGTCCCTGCCTGTTTAGATGATTTAACAGCTGCTGAGGTGGAGGAAGAGGTGGACACTTCTTTCCAGAAAGCCAAAACCTGAGTTTAGGAGTGTGAGGCAGAAGAAATACCCTCTACCTTTTAAATTTATGGTGGTTCATGTTTATAAAGAGCTTTGCAGTTCTTGTTTTAAAGAGTGCGTTATACCAACATTATTCAACTGATGCTCTTTAGACTCCTGCTGATCTGTAAAGCCTCGGGAAGTACCTCAGGAGATCACTGCAAAGTGTGTTTCAAAAGAAATCAGGTCTGCCTGCATTTCTATGCAGTTAGCAGATTTGTGTCTGTGCTGTCAGCAGGTGTAATCGGAAGCTGGGTCTTGATTGCTCTTCGTGCCTAATTAAATAGTTTGTAATTATAATGGTGAAAATACGGTTTTCTAAAACACTTAAATTCTGTTTACCTAAAAGCTTAGTGTTCCTAAGCCATCCCTCTGCACAACCACAAAACCAATAATGTAATAGAAGAAAATGTTTTTTGTTTGTTTTTTTTTTTTTGATTTTTTTTTACTGTTTTGTCCCCTTCCTCAGCCTGCCCCAAAAGTTAGCTAGTCTTTTGATAAGAATATCTGGAGACACTGCTTGCATTTTTAAGACATGTAAAATGGTACAGATCCAGTTTCAGTGATGAACCAAGACTGGAGGGTTTTCATATCACTCATAGAAAAGCCATTTGCTTTACTACTACATCATTCTCAACATAGTCACTGATGTCGTTTTCTCTTTCAAATGCTCTGATACTGCTTCTTCCTCACTTTCTTTCTACACATTAACACCTTTTCTCTACCTTCTCATTCCCACCAAGTACTGACTCTCTATTCTCCGTCAGTACCTTCCAGTACAAGTCAAACTACTCCTCTCTCTTAGAAATTGTTCACTTCTGACTGTGCCTCCTGGTCCCGTATGTCTGAACACTGTTAATGCCAGCTACTTGAAAACATAGCCAGTCCTGGTTCTTCTTTCTCGCTTTGAACCCAGTCTCCTTTTTTCTTTTCCTTGTTTCTTCCTGATCTCTTGGAATACCTATTCCTTCTCGTTCACCACTCACTTCTGCCCACTAACTCTTCAACTTTTGCTTCCTTCTAATCTTTAAACAAGCCGAAATCTGGATTTCCCAAGTTTGTGTTGTTTTATCAACCATTCTTTTTACTGCAACTCCTCCTTCCCACTCCATTCTTGACCACACTGCCTCTAAGTGAACTGAGAGAGCTCTTGAACTTCTGTTCTTCTGCTGTCATCCAGACCTCCCTTTCCTTTCTCAATCATTTTAAAAAGTCTAGAAGGCTAGACTGAGAAAGACAGTCTGTTCATCCTAATTCATACTTGCAATACATGATAGCTCTGTGAAGCCTAAGAGGCTATGAGAGTGCAGGTACCTTTCCAGACCAAAGGTAGAATACATCCAGAGCCAGAAACATAAACCTCTGACTGTGCTCCTTAGCATTTATTGTCATCAGAATTGACTCTAGCATGTATGGTTGTAATGTTTATTTCCTTTTTTATTTTTTTTTTTTTAATAACTGGGGATGTCACGTACATATATTGCTGCTCTTTCTGTCGCTGTTGTTGTTTGTTTATATATTAATTCTGTCTATACTAATTAATGTTTCTGGTGTCATGTCCTCTGACATAAAACAAATCTCCATAATGTTGTCTCTTTCCTTCAGTATTCCCTGTCTCTCCCTTGCAAAATATGCTAAACTTACATTATGTTTTTTCTTACATTGTAGCTCCTCCACAGTTTGTAGTGAGACCACGAGACCAGATTGTAGCCCAAGGTCGAACAGTGACTTTTCCTTGTGAAACTAAAGGAAATCCCCAGCCAGCTGTTTTCTGGCAAAAAGAGGGAAGTCAGGTAAGCTGTAAGCACCCTATAAGTCTTTCAAGCCTTTTTAATAGTTATACTGTGAAATTTTAAGGAAAATTTTTTATATTACCTTTTACAGATTCTCTTAATCTTTCACAGGAATTTGTCTTTTTAAACCATCACTATTCTGTACTGAAATTTTTACTGCCTTTTTCTTTTAAATATTGATATTATGAAGAATACAAAGGCCATTCAAGTCGTTGAAACTTGGGCTAGGTGCTGTGCAGATGTACAGAAAGCAACAGTAAAGGCTTTTCATTCTGAACCCCCCAACAAACAGGTGGGTGAGACAAGCACAGTAGATAAAAAAAGGTATGACTCAATTTTTTACTAATCAGAGTCAGTAATTACAGTTCACAACCTGTCTAGACGTGATCAGGCAGATGTGTATCTCGCAAGCTGATTTGCATTGGCTTATTCTCCTAGAGCATACAGATATAGGTTTTGAACACGCAGGTGCTTTCTTGAGTAAAATTGTCCCGGGAAATTTCCAGATCTGGTTTTGGAAATATTTCCCCCATCTTTTTTGATTTGTGATGTGCAGAATTTGTGATGTGGCAATGGGCGTTGCCATCAGCCAGCACTGGCTTCTACAACTTAGTGTTTGAATGTCACATCGTAACATTTCTTTACTGCTGTTGCTGCATTGGCATGTTGTTACAGCAGAAGTCAGGCCTCCTCACTTTGAGTGTGCTGTTCATGTTAGTATGTTAAATTTGAACACTGCAAAACCTACGTGCTGTATTCTCTTTTGCACCTGAAAAAAGATTAAAAGGGCCAAATGAATGCCCAAGGACAGTGCCTTCTGCAACTCCCTGATGAACCCTGTCATGGGTACACCCGTCTGTGTATCTATGCAATATACCCTTCTCTTTTGGCAGGTTGGTCTCTTCAGACCCTTGTGCTACTTTCCCCCATGTGAGTTAACTCACGTATCCACACTGTGCTGTGCAGTGCAGATGTGCCTTTTGTCAGATCTGGAGGCACTGTGTGCACAAGCTCAGTTAAAATGTGAGATAAGAGCTGAACCACAGATCTCCTGCTCTGCCCCACCTGCTTCTCTTTCACCTTCTCACGAGATCAGAAAGCTATTCCAGAATGACAGGACCAGGCTGACAGCATTTTGTGCTCTGCTGTCTTTGTGGCTTACAAAGATACAACACTATTGCTTTATGAAAATAAGCTTGTCTGAGCGTAAGCTTATCCTTCAATGTGTATCTCTCAGTGTAATATTTGGAGAAACTTAGATTTAGCCTCCATGGATCACACACCCTGGAAAAGCAAAGTATTGTGAGTCTGACTAAGGTGGCAATTGTTCCAAGGGGAAAGTAGAATAGTATGTTGAAATTAAAGTAGGAAGTAGTGATGTGCTAGCAGACATTTCAAAACCCTTCCTTGTAGAGCATTTTAATAACATGGTAATGTTTATGTAAAGTGAGCTTATAGTATCACACTTGAATCTAATAAAGTGGACATCCATCATGCTGTAATAAAGAGAAGAGCTTCTAATTAAAGTAGGACATCATTTGCAGGATTAAAGTCATTTAGCGTAATTGAAAAGTGTTAATACTCTATTTTATCCTCTTCCATTTCTATCACTTCAAGGGTAAAAACATTTTAAGGTGAAAATGCATCTTGTGTCTTTAATTGAATGTTATTACCTACTGATTGTACCATGTTGAAGCTGCTTAATTACAAACCTGGAAAATTAATTACCATATCGAGAAACAGATCCCCGAGGGTTAGAATAGTCTTTTTTGGCAAATAAATGCAACATAAAAATTGATACCTACATGGTTTATAATCAAACCTTCAAACACAGCTCAGTGTGATTTACAACAGCCTCCTGCTAATCTCGATTGATCATCAGTGAAATAACACAGGTTAGGGTTACCCTCTCACTATATAACTTGCCAGATTTTGCAGTGAGATGCCATAAGGGAGGTGAGTTTCCACCCACTGTATATCATCATACAAATGGAGGGTGGTGTTTTTGCCAAATTACGTGACTTTTCACCTTTGCATGCCCAGCTATAAATTGTTTCTTGTCTCTACAGTGCTTGCTTCTGCTTTTACTTGGGGAACTGTTTGCAGCTCCACTTTTAGTGTTTGAAATAATGTTATGTAGTCGTGTTATCCCACTCCAGTAATTGTAGGGCATTTTTCATTGAGACTCCATTTCTCGATCCTGTGTTTTTGAGCACAACCAGCTGGAAGGGAGGGGAGCTGTTCCCTCCTGAGTGATTTTTTGTGCCAGGCTGTGCATAAACAGCTGGCCCTTTGTACTTGGTGGCCTTTTCCCAGAGCCCAACAGCCACCCATCAATGAAATGCATGAGGGAAGAGTGTGTAATCTTCAGACTCTGTGGATTAAATTCTTCCTTGAGATAAATTCAGTGGTACTTTATCGGGCATGTCTTCGGTCCCACTTTTCACAACCCAGCATCTGTGTCCAGATGAGCAACCCAACAGCTAACTAAAATAGTGAAATTATAAAAAGCATTTTAAAAAGAAGTTTTACTGTAATTTAGGACAAGTTATAGTTCACAGTTATCTGGTCTTTGAAGAGAGGAGTCGTGAGACTGGTGAACTCCTCCTGATGTGTGGAATATTTACTGGAACATGTTACCTTCCAGAACAGAGAGGCCCATGCTGAAGACAAAAAGAAGAGTGGTCTCCTCTGCCTAATGCAGTGATAAAGAGGATTCTGGATTATTTTTCTCTTAAGAATTAGGAGCTTGATCCTTGCACTGTCTTTTACGTTGTGTTTATTTATACACTTTACATAATGAGTGATAATTGGAGTCAAGATCAGCCATGCCAAAATTCTCCACTTTCTCATAAAATTTAGTGAAGTTTTCATAATACCCTTATTCAGTAGGTATCTGTGCCAAGCAGAAGTGATTCTGAAAGTTTCAAGGCAGTTCAGAAAACAAGGCAATTATTTGAGACCCACTCAGTCCCATAGCCTGAAATTGCTTCAGAATTTTAACACTTTTTTCCTATTGGATCTGACATGTTTACTGAGTGCATATTGATTTTTGAGGAAAAAATCTGCTGTTATAAATTTCTTGAACATTGCCATTGAAACAAGGCAAGGGAAAAGCCTAGGGTGACAAGTATCCTTGTAGGTTAATACAATTATAAGGATACTTAGAGCGTCGGATCTTATTTAAAGCATATCACTTTCCTTTTACTGCCAAAACCATAGAGATAAAGGCATGAGTTTCATGTAAAAGCAGAATTTGTTTCTTATTTGAATTCTTAATTGTTTCTTAAGCAGTTTGTTGCTTATCAGTTCCAAATCCTTTTTTGTAAACCATTAAGGTCTGCAGAAAATTCACTTAATACCCTATTCTACACTTTTAGATTCCATTTTTAGCCCATACAGACAAGCTTACAAGTTAGTAGGGAATCATCATTAGAAAGCACAGCAGAGCTATACAGAGCTGCAGTAATGACTGAAAACTTATCACAGCATGTTAAGTGTTTTGGGGTATTCCTGCTGCAAACAACTGTATTTTTCATAGAGGCTTGTTGAGCTGACATAAAAGCCAGATCCTATTTTACTGGAATTACCTTTGTTTAATTATTGTTTAAGCTGTTCTCCTTTCTGCCTCATTGGGCAATGCTGCTGACCTTTCCCTTCGCATTGCTTTCCTTTTCCTGTTCCTATATATTCACAAGAGCTGTGCCAGATGGTATAACTTTTTCCTTGAAAACACAACCCTCACTACTAAAACCTTTTCAGTATTGATTCATTCAGTCCTTCATCATATGCAATGACTACTACAGCCATTCCAGCTATTATTATTGACATCTCTCTTTTCTCCAATCCAGCCCAAAGGCAAAAGCTAATCTCCCTGTTTTTTGCTAACTGATGTCTTATCCTACATGAAATTATTCTTTCTCTCTGATGATTTCTACATCAGATTAATACCCTTTCTCTTCACCCTCAAGGCTCCATGATGCATTTCTCCTTTGGTATATCTCAGTTTTAATTTCTTTTTACTTCTCCTTTGAGCTCTCATGCTCTGCCAGCTTCTCCTACTTTATGACCTGATCATATCTTCCTCCCAGCTTTACTTCAGTGCCCTACTCTTACTTTCTCCTTTGCCCGGGACATATTAACAGCCAGACAATAGTGCTATGCTCCCTCAAGTCTCCAGGAGTCAATTTTTTCTGCTAGTTTTCCAATGTTTACTGTAGTGTTATGTCCTCCTGGTTTGATAGCCAAACTAAGTATATTATTACAATTACATTCAGAAAGAAGATGAATGTGTCACAAATATAAATCACTCTAGTGTGATTGTTGGAAAATGTCTCCTCGCCTACACCCCCAGAACACAGCACTGTGTGCTGTCAAAAAGCTGTTTCTAATTTAAACTGCAAGTTGCCCAAGGCAGGGAAAGCCAGCTCTATGTGTTCATAAAGCCTTCCTTTTCCTTCTAGTTTATTTATAGTACTTTTAAGGGAAAAATCGTCGCCTCTCTAGCTGAGGGAAAAGTGGTGCTTTAGTGTTTTGAACTGATGTTTGATGAATTGTCTTTGCAGAACCTACTCTTCCCAAACCAGCCTCTCCAGCCCAACAGCAGATACTCGGTGTCACCGACCGGAGACCTCACCATTACCAACATCCAGCGCTCGGATGCAGGATACTACATCTGTCAGGCACTGACGGTTGCTGGAAGCATTTTAGCAAAGGCTCAGCTGGAGGTTACTGATGGTGAGCTATTAGAAATTCCCATTGGTTTTTGTTTTTTTTCCTGTCAAAAGTATTTTAAAAGCAGTGTAAATAAAGGCGTGTGAGATCACGTAATTCATACAAGGAAGCGGACAGTTTTCTATAGGAAATAAAATGGAAAAGGATCTCCGTGCACTTGTCTGTGGAGTCAAAAAGGCATCAAGGCCTATTTTGCCTTTTGCTTGCTTTCTGAAGGTTCCTTAACAATGAAAAGAAGGGAAAAACAAGCTTAAAATAAGGTTGGTGAGAAAGGAAGCTGCTTGGTTTGCTAGAGCTGAGACATGACTGCAAGAAAACATTGTGGAGAACGAATAGGTTTATGATTAAAGCAGTGAATTGGGGTGCAAAAAAAAATTAGTCCTGATTCCCAGCAGTCTTCACTACCATCTTACACAGCTAGTTTGGGAATGTGTCCTCAGCTCAATTAAACCAAGGCAGTTGTTTGAATGTAGTGGAGTACTGTTGGTTTGGAATAGCTACATGTAGCCCTTCAGTCACTCTGTGAATGAGGCACCTACCTCAGAGCTGTGTTCTAAGAATTTCCTTGTATGGTTAAGTGTGAAAAAAGCCATGAAAATGAGAAGTTAGAGAAGAGTTTTCAGGAAAGGAAAAGCATCTGTCTTGATGCTTTCCATTTCAAATTTTTTGGGTTTGAAATTTATCCTGCCTTGAAGTTTACCTTACTCCGTCTCCAAACATGAATCCTTTTCATATGTCAGGAGTCCTGTTGATATCCCTCTTCATCCTCTTGTGGATAGAAGGCAGTTTGCATCCTTTAATGTTAGTGAGGAAAACAGTAGAATTCCTCTTATACCAGGAGATTGTGGCATTCCCCGGCATCATTATTCCTTATCTTAACTGACACATTAAATATCTCCTGACAGACTTTGATGAATTTTTGCCATTAAAACTGTTGTTATATGCAGAGGTCTACTTTTACTGTTCCCTTAGAGACCTGCCTGCACCATGAAAGTTTGAAAAGATGTCTAATTTTGAATAATCTGCCTTTTCACAAGAGCATATTCATCACAAGTGACAGGTAGAGAGGTTCAGGCTCATGTTATAGAGGTTTGAGCATTAATTTGATGCCTTTTCTTTGTTTTCCAAAAGCTGCCTATATTTTTATGACAAGGGAAGATAATTTCTGCCTTATCCTCTCATCTCTTCAAGCACATTTCTTTTCTGTCGTTTCTGGACACTAAAGGCTTGGCTTTTCTCTGCGATCCCTTTAAGTCCTTTCTCTCATGGTCTGAGAGAAAATGGTGCCTTTTCATTCAATTCAAATTTAAATGTAGATTAAAAGGTCGTTTAAAATTAATGGAAAGGCAGTATTTTGTAATATCTGTCCACAGTGCTGCCTGACTCAGGGCCATGACTGTGATTGGAATAAATAGAACACACAAACATTGGCTGAGAGGACATTGAGCTGTTAATGGTTGCACCTGCTGATGCTGCACAGATTTACAGCAACAGGCGCTGAGTGGATCAAATCAGGTTCAAGGACACGAGTGGTGAGAAATTCTTCCTTTTGACAGGCAAGGCCTGTGGTCCATTTCTTGTGCAGGGAAAAAAAAAATAAATCCCAATTGATCTCTTTGGAATTTTCGTTGGTTTATTAGAGGAAAGCGTCCCTGCTAAAATGCAAACTCACCTCCAGCTAATTCTGATTAAAGGCAGTGTGCATTTCACATTGCTGGAGAAAGCATTAGCTGGAGGCTCTGCTGCTCAGAGAGTGCAAGGCCTGCGTTCTTCAAATGCTTTCCAGAACCCGCTGTCAGCAGCATGATCATTATGAAAAAAATACAAAATTGCTTTATAGAAATACCATTTCATCCCCGAGTCAAAGGGCAGGTGAGGTCAGAAGAAAAGTGCCAAAACAACATTGTGGAACTGAGATTATATAAATAAATCTACCATTAGATCACAGATATTTTTTTAATTGCTTTTAGTTAGGAAGTTACCCATAAATGTCGAAATAATCTATTTTGGTTGATGCTGAGCAGAAGTTAAGGAAGCTAATGATTTTTATCAGTAGGGAAATCTAACTTAATGGTTTTAAAAATATAATAAAAGATAAACACTGTGCATGTTAGCTATATACTTAAGCATTAGTGTTCTAGTTTTTGGCTGGTGATTTCAGTTTTACTTCATAGCCCAGAATTTTTCTGTTTGGTTAATGATTTAATAATAGTGGCGAGCCATCTTTTTCATTTTGAACACATTTTTGTTTGATCCAGAGTAATTTAGATCCAATTGAAGTTCCAATACAGAATGAAAACATGTCATGTGCAGAAAAACAAGTGCTTAATTATACCATATATAGCAGTGTTTCAGTTGTTAACATTTTTGCACTTACAAGTCTTTACTGGAAATATTTTTAACTCAAGTGTTCACATGAGAAGAGATTACTAGCTGTGATGAAATGTGCTGAGTTGAGTGATAATTTTGCTGATTATGGACTGTGCTAAGAGCCTTCGGTGTATTTGAAATTCAAATCTTGTATTTTCTTGAAAGGCTATCATGTAATTCACTGTCTAATGCACATCTGGAAAAGCAAAATCATTTTAAAAATTGAACAATCTTAGCAATCCTTTCAAACTCAAGAAGTGAATATACAGCTCACAATCTTAAAATGACAGATCCTGGAAATAAACCAAATGCTTCCATCTATGTCTGTGCTCAGCATAAAATGAATAGTTTATAATTAGTATTTAGTTACATAAATTTATCCATCATGCACAGAATATTTTGGAAAAGATCTGAATTTCTCCTTAGTTAGTAATCTTTAACACTTATTAATAAAAATTTTGGCCAGTGCATGTGCAGCTGTAGGATCATGCTTTGTCCAGTTTACCCAGCAGTTGCTGTTTAGGGTGAGTATTGGGGTGGAAGGAAAAGATTAGCCTCACAGCGTGCATTTTTCTGACAACATAAGAATGAACCGGTTTAGGATACTAAATTAATTTAAAACATTGTGTTTCTGGGATTTTCAATAAAGCAAAAGGCTGGATCTATAAGGATAATTCAGAATAGACTAAAAAAAGTAAGAGGAGGAGTTGGCAGCATACCTCAACAGCCCACTCTCCACTGATTTGGGACAGACACTTGAGGCTTTTTGCCCAAACTCCTTTGCAATTTTTTTTTTATTATAGATCTATTGAATACTCTGGGATATCTCTCTCTTAAATCCTCTACTCACAGTTTACTTGCCTGCAAATCTGGCCGCCATGATTCTTAGCCCTGATCAAATGTATACTAAATATTTTGTAGCAAGTGTGACAGTCTCAGACAGGATAGATTCAGAACAATGTCACAGCCTCCTGTGAAGCTCTTCTGCAAAAAAAGACAGAAGGTTTGGTCTCTGCTTTTCCAACCTAACCCTAGCCCTGCCCTATCACACTAGTGTTCATCATGACTTATGTCTGATTTTCCCCATTAATTCACCAAGAAAGTTTTTGAAATTTTGATTTTGGAAGTGAAAAAGTAAAGACTTCATTTTGTCATTCTCTTATTTTAATTTCCTGTTGTAATTTGACCACATTCCACTCGAAGTTAAACATGATTTCAGTTGACCAAAATTGCATTTTTAGTGAATAAACTGTTAATTAACAAGTATAATTTGTTCTTTTCCTATAATCTGTTGCAATTTTAAGATGCACTTTATCACAAAAGAAATATTTTAATTTTTCAGTTACCAGAATATAAGAATATATGGATACTGGCAAATAGTTTCAAATCCATTTTTTAAATTAAATTAATTTTGAAATCAACCTCTGATTTACGATGCAAACATATTTCTAGCCACAGACAGTGTTTCTGCAGAATGGATGTAAAAGTTTCTTGTAAGTGAAAAAAAAATAATAAATTAAAATATTTTAAAAGCAACTAACAAACACCACACCACTTTATGGATATTTTTCATTATCTCTCTGTTCTTCAGAATGTTCATGATATATGTTTTTAAACCTCTAAGCAAGTTTTGGATCCTTACTAATGAGGTAGGAACACAAGCACCCACGGAGGTTTTATAGAAGATTTACAAGTCCTAGTTGTGAAGACAATACAGTCATTTACAGATCAGTGGAAACCCTAAGTGTTCATTTAACCTTTAGCCTTAGTGTCATGGAAACCTGTAGTGGTCTTTCACCCATGACACCCTTGAAAATGAAGATTCCTTCTGGCCAGGAGACTTTCAATTACACTATTGATCAGAGCTATTTAAAGGATTATGAGCTCCTCATTTGTGCTGTAAAAAAACTAATTACGTGCCAAAGAACAATATCTGTAATGCAGTAGGTTTTGAAAATACCTACATTGCTACACATATGAAAAACAATTAGGTGAAGCAAATAACTGCGATAGAATAGTTAGCAACTTAAATAGTAATTTTTCCTTAAATTTTAGCTGCCTAAAATACTTGGATGTCTTGTTTTACATTAAATCTAAAGGATAACTTGCAGTTAAGTTTTCATTTGAATATACTTGTGCTGCAGGTATCCTTATAGTACACAGGAGATGAGATCAGTTTGTATCTCACCAAATGGCTGCACTGTGTAGTTATAAGGAACCGTAATGAGATAAAAAATTTCATATTAAGGTGAAAATGCATTACATTTTCTCTGTTCTTGTAACATAGTGTTTGCTGTCCTATCTCTGAGTTCAGTGGGTGATATTTCAGAATTTCCAAAATAACTTTCACATTCTGGTGTTAATAAATAGTCTTTATTGGCTTCTATTTTCAGTTTCAATTTCAATAAATGTGATGAACTCACACTGCAAGGTGTGATTCTGATAATACTAATGATTCTGTCCTTTGTGAATCTCGTTAACAAAAGAGGGTGGTTGTATTTTTGCAGCATTCAAATTTCAGAAACAATTATTTTAGTTATAAAATGTACCACCAACATGTCCCTAATATTTTTTATTTATTAAATAGTGTAATGAAAGCACTTTGGATCCCAGAGGGACCTTTGCATCTCAAACAGCTCAAATACAACAGAAACCTTATTGCTTTGTAATAATTTCTTTTCACTTCTTTGTCAGAGTCAAATGTTGTCTATGGACTGTGATAAACAGATTTTCAGCTAGAATAAATGGTTCAAACTCAATTGACATCAGCAGAGGGAGACTAACTTACACTGCTTTAGAAGATAATCCTACCTGTTACAATATTTAATACCAATCACATAATTGTTCAGTTGTTCAAAGATTTAAAACAGTAGCAATGTGGCAGGTAAATATATAAAAATGAATACTCAGTTCTGTTATACTGATTTTATGCAACAGTCAAAGCCTTGTTTATATTCAAGTATTTCACATTTGTTTTGTATAAACACATTCTTTAGAAACAAAAAGTTATATTTTGCTGCTTAACAGATGGCTCAGAGGATAAATTCAACAGCAGAATAATTTATCAAAAATGATCTTTCAAGAAAAGTGAACATGAGCATTTTACCTCATCTTCAGGGTGTCCCACTGGTCATGGAATGAGGTTTATACAGAGCCACACACTCACTGGTTGCGGAGTCCTTTAAGCAGTGTTTCAAGCATGCAAATGTAAATTATCAGGGGAAAAAATTAAGAGAGTTCATGGCTTTAAAAGGTGATGAAATGATTTGATAAGTAAGCTTTTAAATGGTGTGATTGAGTTTGAGCTTTTCTCCACTGGCAAGAGTGGTAAAGTCATTTAGATCACTCAGATTGTGAAGATGTTTTGTATTACTGTGAGGTATTTTTGCAGATGAAAACTTGCAAATTGAGCAGGACTGGGGATGTGGTTGGTACCCACGCTATAATAGTGTTAGTTTTTCACTTTGAACTCTTAACAGATTTTCTCTTCTAGGCCATAAATTAGGTAAGCAATTAAGCACATTTTGATGTGACATCAAATGTGTGCTTTAAGTGCTTTCCTAAATTGGAAGAAATAAGTGATGCACTTCAATTCTTTTCCGAATCAAGGTCTTAATTTTCATCCTGTGTTAACCAAATGAGTCTGATGATCTTTGCTGACAGAAATTTACATGTCTAGGTGTTGTCTCGCAATGGTGAAATAAAATCCTTACAAAAATACTTTTCAAATATGCTAGCTAATTGTTAACATGTACGGGTCTTCCAAAAACAATGTCTTTAACCTCTTGGATGCTACCTTAAACCAGTCTCTTAGAACTGGTGCTGTGTGAAGGAACAGGGCTCACTGGAGCAGAGGATCTTTAAAGGTGTGGGTGTCGCTGTTTAGTCTTGACAGATAGGCCTCCACCCATCATCCTCCAGGGACCCATCAACCAGACACTGGCAGTGGATGGCACAGCTCTGCTGAAGTGCAAGGCCACCGGTGACCCCCTCCCTGTCATCAGCTGGTTGAAAGAAGGATTCACCTTCCTGGGTCGAGACCCTCGGACGTCCATACAGGACCAGGGGACGCTTCAAATCAAAGCGCTGCGGGTGAGTGACAGTGACCAAGCAGGCGTGACAGGTTCTACACGGCTGGTTCTGCCCTGTCACTGTTTGCCTGGAGCAGCTCTGCTGCCTCCCCCTTGTCCTCAAGGTTAACTCGTCTTTTTTGCCCTGCAATTCTCTCCAAGTCCATGTCCTGTTTCGTTCTTTGACACTGTGTAGGGAAGGGGGGGAAAAAAGAGAAGAGTAGTAGTAGATACTCAGTATCAGATATTTCAATGAGAATTCCCTAAAAAATAGAACTGATGTTTAAAATCTTATGTATGTTTCAGGAAAACACATGAGTTGGATATGGATATAAATATAAAAGGACAGTCCTTCCTGTCTTTTCAGTTAGTCTTACCATGAAGCCATTGGCCTCTCTGTTTAAACTTAGAGCAGTTCCTTGGCAACACCTGATCATAATTTTCCAAGGACCTGTAGTGGTAGCACATGATCTAGAGTTCACCAGAGTTTAACCACACACTTTCTCCATCAATAAGTCTTGTCAGTCCTGAACTGGATGATTTATTCCAATGTTATGCTTGCTGGAAGTATTCCACCAGGCTGCAAATGGCAAAAGACAACTAGTACATGAAGTCATATGCAGCGGAATTTCTGTTCAAAATAAATACCTATTGTAACATTTACATTTTAACACACGATATTATAATATTCCAAATAGCATAACGTCCCATGTGGTTGATAAATATTGCATCACTAATCTATTTTTTTGGCTTTTAATTTTTCCCTGTTCAAAGATAAACACATGTTAGTTGTTTGTGTGTATTTGGACAAGCGTGCACATGGAAAAATAGTAAGTTAAATGTCCTTATTTGTCAAGAACTTAAAGACAATTTCAGAAATGACTTAATTTCATCAGCAGAAATTTCTGCACTTGGCTTTTCCATCCAAAAAAAGTCAATAAACTTAGCTACTGATGACAAGACATGAAGAGCAGTTTTGTTTTCTGATACCTTCTCATCAGTGATCGTAGATGAATTGTGAACTTTCTTGGAACAAAATGGAATTTATTAAAAAATTTATGCTAGCTTTCCTTGAGTAAACAATTTATCCTTCCTCCCTAGGCTGAAGGCAGGTTTAGGCCATGAAGGTTAATGCATTTTTCCTGTAGAGCTGGATTAAAGAGTGCGCTTGAATAGTCAAGATTCCCCAGTAGTGTTAGAAAGCAGCAATTAAAGGTGGAGGCTTAGTGATTTCAAACAAACTTCCAGGCACTGATGATGGGCTTCTGTGGAGTGTCCATGAGGCAGAAGCTCCTGGGATACCTGTCTGCATGCAGCTATGCAAACAATGAAATTGGTTCTGAATCGTGCCGGCGCATTAATTTCGCTGTCAGAGGCCCAAAGTCTGTAAACTAAAGGGAAAAAAAATAGCTTGCAAGGGGAGAAGAAAACAGTATTAGTAGTGAGTGTGGTTTTGAGAGACATGAGGCTTTTATTGATCCTTAAGTGGCTCATTCACTACTAACCAATTTTCCTTAGAGGTTCAGAAAGGCATTTTTTATAAACCCCTCTGTAGCAGTGCATTCAAAATCAAGAACAAAAACTACACAGGACCATAAACCGCAGATTTCTCCTGTCCCTTGCGATTTTTTGTGAATTAAAGATGGATTTAAGAGTGGAATGTTTAACTTTTCTCTCAGGCTTACCTGAGCAATGACTAGCACCACTTCCTAAGCAAAAAATGGCCATGAAAACGTCCGAGTACACTTAAAATATCCAAGTTCAAATAAGTTAGTATTTGTCACCCACATGTCCTCAGCCTTCTGGATGAGGGTAGATTTAGATTAGATATCAGGAAGGTATTCTTTACTGTGAGGGTGGAGCAGGTTTCCCAGAGAAGTCATGGATTCCCCATCCCTGAAAGTGTTCAAGGCCAGGTTGGATGGGACTTTGATCAGCTTTGGTTTAGTGGATGATGTCCCTGCCCATGGCAGAGGGCTTGGAAAGAGATGATCTTTAAGGTCCCTTTTTAGCTGGTCATTTTCTGCTATGTAGCTCCTTCTGTTACATCACAATTAAATTATTCATGAGCCTGCAGCAGTCACATGGGCCACAGTGATAAGTATGAACACAGAGATTTTTCTGGTGAACCAATCTTTCCAGTTGCTCTGAGGAAAATAACTGAAAACTCACCTATGTCGCTCACTCAGTACCTGTTCAGACAGCTCAACACTTATGGAAATCTCCCTTCTGCTCCACAGAATCTACCACAGCAGGTTTGGGCACCTGCGTTAATTAAGGAACAAAACTGTTTATTTTACTGAATAGCAAACATTTTTCCATTCGCTTTCCCCATTGTTTTTTTCCATGGCACAAAAAAAGAAGTATAAATAATTGAATTATCAACACATTATGTCTGTATCTAATCCATCCACAGTCTGGAAGTCAGATAATTTGCCATAACTTGCAAGAAGCAGTGTATCTCCAGCTTGCTTTATATGTTGAGTTTGTCTTCTGCAAGTTACTCTGTCGTGTACACCACATACTTCATTGAGTATGCCATACACCATCTGTCACAGTAGCACACAAATGAAGTTGAGAACCATAGCCTTGAGAAATATTCCCCATTATCATGTAATGAAGAATAATATATTTAATAAAAGCTCAGAGGAAGCAAAATAAAACACTGCTTCAGAATGCTATAAGGCCCTCTCCTCTGGAAAATCTCTCCTTTCAAGAGTCTTTCTCATTTCATCAGTAGCACCACTATATTTTGAGTGTCTGAGGCATTGTCAGAGGGGTTTCACTGTTGCTTGTGTTTCACTGAGAAAAAAAATCTCCTGAAATGCGAGTTAGGCTCCTTCAGGCAGTTGAGCCTCCTTCCTCCCCTAAGAATTCCTCCTCTTAAGTTGCTTCCTCCCCTAAGAATGGTACACTGCAGTCTCAGTGTATCTGAAGAAAATACCAACAAAATTCAAACATGACCAAGGTAAAAATCAATTAAATTATATATCAACAAGTAATCTAAAGAATATCTTGCTTATTTGCCTTCACATTCTTCTTGAAGAGTGAAGTATAAGCACATATGCTATAGTGCCATCTGCATTTAACAGAAAACCCATTACAATTCCTTAAAGTCCAATAAAGCTTTTTGGATGCATTTCTATTTCCATCAAGTCATCTGAGGGTGAATTCTTCTTCTTTATCACTAGAGTCAGCACTGTCCCTCTTCTGCTTCCACCTCCAGATTACCATGCTTTATGCATAGTGGTAGGAGAGCTTCTCTGTATGTTTTGTGCTTTGTAAAGTTACTGTTTCCCATCCATCTCTGTGGTCTTCACTAGTTCCTGACTCAGAAATCTTTATTTTAAATTTAAATAGGGAATAGGAAAACACCTGGCAAATTTTCTAGTAGAACAGTTCATACAGTGATGAGATTAATATTGACAATCAAATTCAAAACAGTTTCCCCAAATAAATTTAAAATATTTGAACTGACAAGGGAAACACAATAGTTTTATACCAGTGCACTTTTTTTTTGCCACCAAAGGGCCTTGCAAGCCTGAAATAAAATCCCATGTGAAACAGAAGAAAGGTAAGTATGGTGTAGGATCTAATTTAATCTTGCTATTTGAAAATTGCTTGGTGGACTGTCTGTGTAGAGAGAACCATTGTTAAGCATCAACAGTATTTGCTTTTGTGGTGGCCTGTATAGAAATGACTTCATCTGTCATAAAAGTCTAAGATGATGTAACATCCTTCCTTGGCACTGGAACCTGTACCTCTTGCTCATCATGGGGTAATGAATGGTGAGATTTTGCCCTCTAAGAGGTTAATTGTCGTTATATTGTTACCTGATTTCACGTGCAATTGTTGTAACCAATACAAGGACTGGCACTGTCAAAAACATCCATTCTGTAGAATTTACAGTACTGGTACCATTAACAATATGAAAATTAGAATTAGTAAAGTATTAGAAGCAAGTAATCTTATTATAGTTCTCTAAAAGTAAGCCACCATTAAATGATTGTTGGAAAATATCTGGTGCCCTCTAGCCTGATGTAAAATGTAGGCTAAGTCCTTCTTACCAAGAAACATTTAGAAAAAGAAAATTAGAGTAAACTCAGCTGATTCTAAAAGGTTGTTAAAACTGCCCTTATGCCCCTTTTATGTCCAGCTGTCTGATACTGGGACTTACACTTGCGTGGCTACAAGTTCCAGTGGGGAGACCTCTTGGAGTGCTGTGCTGGAGGTGACAGGTAAGTGATGTCCAGGGCTGTTGCAGCTGGCACACAATGAAAGTGTGGACCATACCACAGCAGTCTGAGTCAAATAACCCGTTCTAGAACTTCTGGGATTGACATGGAGGAGTTTTGGATGACCAGGTTCTGTTCTTTCACACACCTTGTATATCATTCCTATTATCTTTAAATGCTCATTAACATAGAAACAGTTATTATGTTTGTATCCAGTGACAGAGGGAAGCTATAACTCTTCTAAACAGGAGTATTAATAAACTGTGGATTTATCCAATAATTTACTTGGCCAAGAAAACTATTATGCCTACACAGAGGCATTTCAAAGTCCAAAGTGCTCTCTGTGAGTACTGGAGTTGATTTGGATACAGAAACTTTCTCAGCTTTCTAGAAACTAAGTTTCGGGTATTTTATGCAAACTTCAGTAAAGCTGGTAGGTTTTGTTTGGTTTTGTTGTTCTTGATTTTTTATAAAAATATTTATATATAACCTTTTGAATTTTGCATTTTTTTCTTTCAGTATGTACTTAAAGAACGATAACTCTTCATCCAAAAACATGTGCAATTTTTGACTTAGTTCTTTACAGATTAAGAATATTCATTATGATGATTTTTGCAGACGTTTGCCATGTTTTTTCCTTTTAATCTTCTACTTTGATCAAATTATATAACCAAGGATAAAAAATAACTGGTTTGCATTTGCCCTTCACAGAATCCGGTGGAGCAACAGTCAGTAAAAATTATGATATAAATGACCTCCCTGGGCCACCATCCAAACCTCAGGTCACTGATGTTACTAAGAACAGTGTCACCCTGTCCTGGCAGCCAGGGACCCCTGGAAGCCTACCAGCCAGTGCATATATCATTGAGGCTTTTAGGTATGTGAGTTATTCCACTTTTAAGCTCCTTTCTTTCTAATTTTGCTTAAACCCTGGTAACAGCTGTTCTCCTGGTATTGTGGTGTTCTTTTGGACTCCACACGTATCACTAGAGGTTCATTAAATGACAACTCCTATAGCAGGCATTGATTCATATTTTTTTAACTGATTTTTTTTTTTAATTTTTTTTTTAAGTGGTTAATTGGAGAAGCATCTAACGATTTCTATTGGAATATAACAGAACAATGCAGTCATTATTTGTTACTTAATGTTGATGTTCAGTGAGAGCCTTCTGTGGGAATGCTGCAGGTTCTTGAATATCATAGGACAAATGATATGAAAATAAGTGGGTGGTTCTGAAACTTCTCTGCCCACTTTAATTCCTGCTCTTGTTAAAGCAGTACCTATTAAAGAGTCAAATCACTTTAAATTTCTACTTCTTACTGTTTTAGATAGATGAAAACTTTTAAGTGAAAAGGCTAGTGTGGATAATTTAGGATTTTATCCTGCAGCCTGAGGCTGAAGAGAATCCAGCTGCTCCCTCCCACACAGCAGCAATTACTATGTGGTACAAAAGAATTCCTGGGCTCCAATTCAGCAAGTTTGTTAAGCATGGGCCATACCTCTGCAAGAGATCTGTAGTACACATTTCAGATTAAAAATCCACACATCCTTAAATGTTTTCCTTAATCAAGATATTCAACAAATGACAAATATTTCAGTTCATCTTTTAATTAAAATTCATGCAAGTCAAAATCATATGCATGCAAATTTTAGCTAAAATGCTTCATTCTGCTCTGTTAATATGTAAGGAACATTATTGCACGTGCAGTTTGTTTGTTTTGTTCTAGAACTTATTTTTTATGCATTGCATGAATGAAGAAATTGAAACAACACAGAACTCGTAGCTTTCCATTTTCTTTTTCCTCTTAATATGTTTAAAGATTTTTTTTATCAATACTTTATACAACAAAGCACAATAAAATAAATTTTCCTCTTTAAACTTTTGTGATGTTTCTCCCTAGATAAGCTTTAATGGCATCCCATCAATAATTTTAACAAAAGCCAGACATTTTCATGAAAAGCTGTTTTTACAATCGCATTTGAAATCTTTTCATATGGTGGATTTTAATCTAATTACAATAATGTTGAATTGAAAATGTAGTGACAAAAAAAATATTCATATACTTACCTTCCTTTAAAAGCAAGTTTTCTGAATTTTTTTTAACTTTTATGATTTTAATGCAAGGAGACCACTTTTCTTCCAATGACAACTTATTGACATAATTTATTAGCAGGATAAAAAATTATTCTTTTAACAGAATTTTCCTTTTAAAATCTTATGTTCAGAAGTAGCCTATCATTCAAATTTACTTTACAGCTCTCCACACTTTCCTTTTGCAGGCATTTACTTTAAAGAAACAGCAAAAGGTTTTGCTTCTGTTGCAATGAGAAATACTTTTGAGAGCTGTGTTGCTTTTTTATCCCATCTCGATGAGTTAGCTGAAACAAGTATTTTTAATTTTACCCTGCTTTTACTAATTTTTCCTGTACTTAGACTTGATCTCGGGTTACAAAAATAGGTCCTTTCACTCCTTAATTTTTCTCTTGCGTTAGTGTATAACCTTCCACCCTCTTCTCATTGCAGTCAGTCTGTGAGCAACAGTTGGCAGACAGTGGCAAACCACGTGAAGAGCACCCTCTACACTGTGAGGGGCCTGCGCCCCAACACGATCTACCTGTTCATGGTGAGAGCCATCAATTCACAGGGCCTGAGTGACCCCAGCCCCATGTCAGACCCTGTCAGAACACAAGGTAAGGGTGGCTGTTAAGGCTTCTGTGCTTGAGCTAAAATAAAAAGAAAGCTCTGACAGTTGACCAATAGGTCAGTCTGGACTTGAGCAGCCTGACTGAAGGAATCATGAATCGAGCCTAACCAATAAAGATAAAAATTGTCCAATGTTTGCTGTATCAATCTGGAGCTTAGGAGACCCTTTCCCTTTTTAATCCTTCCTACAGCGTAGACCTTTTGATTTGCAATTCACTTAGACTCGTTGTGCTCCTGGTTTCTATTAAAAGTAATGTGAGTTAACCAAGCTTTTCTGAAAACTTCTCTGAACACCATGCTCTCCTCAGTATCTCTTCTCTCCATGTCCTTACTTCCTCTCCATCATTATAATGGGGATATACTGTAACAACAGGTGCTTATGACAGGCAGACACTGTGTTTAGTGTTAGTTTTAATCAAAAGAATAGCGCAAAATATCTCTAGTGTGTTGATTAATCCAACCTTTAGGCAGAGAATTCATGTAAATTAAGGCATCTTCATGCTAAGAATATATTGAAGTTATTCAGAGAAAAGTGCATTCTATTTATATACCTACATTTCTGAATTCTTTATATTAATCCACTGCATAAACCAGGAAGGGAAGGTTGAAGTGAAATCCCTCATTTATGGGGTGGTGATATGATTGATAGCTGTGATCCTCCATTGCTATTGAATTGACTATTGAATTCTGTTCACATTGCATCAAGTTCTAACTGCATATAACTGCCACAAACAAATTTCCCTGCACAGCATGGATTTTTTTTTGGCTTTGAGAAGATGTTGCTGGACTAATTAATTCAAGAGTGTAGTTTTGTCTTATGCAGGCTGTAATACAAGAATTAATCATTCTTTGGAATTATAATTTTTTGAGTCCAAAGCAATAGCTCGTCTCACAGTTAATTTAAAATGAAGTCCTCTGTTTGTATTTGTGTATGGTCCTAGATGGAAAGAGATAAACAAGAGTAGGGTAGTATTTCTTTATCATATAACCACCAGATCCAGCCCCTCTCATCCCAGCCTAGTCCTGAATAAATCTGTCCTTAATAGTTAGACACTCAAAATAGTAATTCTGGCTGGAAAAAAGAGAAACGGAGCTGCTTTCTGAAAAGCTGGAGGAATGAGTTGTGCAGGGATTTTGTGGCTTGACTATTCACAGAGCATCACAAGTTTTCTTCTTTATTACTCTCCCATTATTATAGGGTGACTCATGCTTTTCATTGCAACAGCCTTTTAGTCTGCATAACTTATCACCTAGCTAAAAAAAAACAACTTTGTTTGGCATTTGAGTGTCAAGTATAGACTTTTTACCTGACATACTGACAAGCAATTTGATTTCAGTAAAAACATGTCTTTTAATTAGCTACAGCATGTGTTGCAGCTTCCATTTCCAGAAGCTGTTTAGCAGTCAAGCACACTCAGACATGTACAGGATTTATAGCTTCTTTGCAAGCCTGTAGTTTAATAGAATTAAATCATAAAATCAATTGAAAATTAACATAATGTTTTGATGTGATTTCTAATTATGCCTGAATTCAATTCAGGCTCACAGAAGAAGCTGACACACAGTAGAAAGCCTATTCACAGTGGCCATGGGGAAACAACAAAGCAGCTATAGCAGCAGTATATATTAATTTGCAACAGGTGTCTCTGGTAGCTTTAATAGCTGAGCATTTAATGTCCTGGTTTTAAGCATGGCAAATACAAGTAACAAGATTTTATGTATATTTTCACCAATGGACTACAAGTAGATGATCAGGTACTTTCAATAGGTTTACCTTATATGACTTACAACAAAAAAGGACAGAGAAATCATAATTACTCTAAGGAAGGAGCTGATTTCTTGTTGGATTATTAATAGACCAAGGGGTTGATTTCTTGTTGGATTATTAATAGACTAAACCATATATTAAAAAAAACTTTCAAGAAACTATAAATAATCCTATCCCTGAAATTTAAATTAATAGCAACTAATAGTACATCCACTTGAAGCTGATAAAAGAGAGGTTATAGAAAACATCTAAGCAATTTTACTTTAGAACTCTCTTAATGGTAACCAGAACAGAGCTTCTTGAACAAGTTTTGCTTGAGTCATGATTTTATTATTCCAATGCTTGGTGATATCCTTAGAGATAGATCAACTGCTTTTCCACCAGAAGCCTCCTAGAAACGTGAAAATGGCAAGACATTACTCTGAGAGTGTCACACATGCATAAGTTTTCAAGTGTGCATATCAGAAAACAGAATTCCACATGTACATCTTAATACTCATTTTTCAGTGTTATGAGTTCATGTTATTGCCTCCTGGACATATGTCCCAATAAAATGATGAAATGCCATTCATACTAAGATATTATGTAGAAATTTCCTTTCCTCTGAGGGAATACAGGTACTTTGCTGGTTTTATACCACAGAGTAACTTTACTTAAAAAGTAGCCATGTAGGGATTTTGTAGCAGGGATCATAGCTTTTTGTGGATAGCAGCATAAATTATCACCCTGTAGACCAACCTGAGCTGCTGTCAGTTACAGACTCATTTTATAATCTCTATTTCTTGGTTGCTTTGAATAGATATAATTTGCTAGACAAGCTCCTTGACTGACATCCATATTTGGATTCTATTCCCTTTGGAGATCCTTGGAGCCCTTGTAAATTGAATATCAATAAAAGCCTGTGGCAGTATTGTTTATTGGTGACTCAGAACCCATAACAATCAAGAATTAAGAGCCTGAAATATTGATCATCAAGAATTCCTTTCTTTCAAAATCTGGAGTCATGTGATTCAAACTCCGTTGTTATATTTAAATGTTTCATTTTTAAGACCTCTATTACTTCTTTTTAATAATATTTAGAAGATAAAAAGAAGTCACGTGATGCCTGCTCCCACATCTAAGTCCATCAGAGGGGCAAAAAGTTTTATGTATGTATTCTCTTCACAAGGACACGATGTTGATCCAGAAAGTGGGCAACTGTCTTTGACTAGTTAATCCCAAGGCAAAACCAAGCAGAATTCACAGATGTCTAGACAGGCATGACCATAATTTGTCAAGCCCTTTTGAATATAATCTGTGCTTGTGTTCCAGATCCCCCCCTAATTTCTGTCTAAGTTGGAGGGAAGGGCGATGCTACAGTGATATATTAGCTGGGTGATAGCTGCAGCCCAGCATTCTCCTTTTGGTGAAGTGTAAAAAAGACACATTGCCCACCTCCTTCCCCATTTTCTGACACCTACATTCTGTTTGCAGTTTAGCAGAGGTGATATAAACCTTCATTCATTTTAACACAACAACCCAAATGTGATCCCTAAGGACTAGGTACTGGGACCACATGTGGTGCTGGAGTTGGAATCACAAATCTCTATATGTGTATATTGAGTTACCAAATAGCTTCAGATTTTGACTAGAAGAAACAATTTCCCCACACACTTTGAAGGGCACATAATCTTGAAAAGAAATTTTTTTTTGATAGATTGGTTTTTTTGGCCTTTTATTAGATCAAAATCAGTTTGGCTTCCTAAATTAATTCTTTTGGGGTTTTTTTCGTATTTGCGCTAGATTTCATTATCTGTGTCTGTAAAGGGAAAATTTGCTTTGCAGAGGAAAATGTTATTTTTAGTGTTTGGTTTCTTGTGTGCATGGCATGTGGGGAGGGCAAGCTTAGTGACAGATTAGAAACATGTAATGACTTAATGTCATGTATGGTCTAAGAAAATTTACAAAAAAAACCCTAAAAATGAAACCTGTTCATTTTCTTAAATTATACTAACCAATTTGGTTCCAGGCATCTAGGCAGCATTATTATTATCTGAGTGTTTTGGAACTGGTGAACATTACATCTCTCTCATTACTTACTAGGGCAGAGAAAACTTTGCCATCTAGTCTCAATATTCATTTAAAGATATTTATATTTCATTATTTCCTCAGTGGCTAAAGGTGAGTGGTTTGCTTGCATTACTTGATATTCTTTGGAGTTCGTATTTAAACCTTAGTGCTGTATTGTTTTAAAAACCAGAACTATGAAGGGTGTTTAAATCAGTACTTTTTTTTGATGCCATATATAGCTCTTCTCATTAAAATAATGCTTTCACGTGTGTGCCTGGCAGATATCAGCCCCCCAGCACAAGGTGTGGATCACAGGCAAGTCCAGAAAGAACTGGGAGACGTCATTGTACGGCTGCACAATCCTGTCGTGCTGACACCCACGACAGTTCAAGTCACCTGGACGGTGAGGCCTCTGTTATTACCTTAACAGTATTTGCAGTTTGCCTATTTTGCCTCCTTATCCCTTCAGTTTTTTACCACCCAAAGCTCCATTCTTCACCCCAGTGTGAGTGCTCTGACAAAGTAACATTCTACAGGTGTGTATATACATATACACACACACACACACACACATATATATAGAAGTTAATGAAATAGTCTTTTTATTTTCTCTTTCAAGGCAGGCAGGTTCAATGTCTTCAATCTTCTGCTCAATGTGAGTTGTCTGTCTGGCTAGAAAAATATGATAAAAATGAATATGCTTAACACCATAATCTAGAGGATAATTGATCTGTGGATTCATTACTCTGCATGTCAAAAAATAATCAAAGTTAAATATCAACATGAAATTGCTGTATGAAAAAGCACTTTGCACTTCAAGGCATATGGACCTCTGACAATACCCTATTATTTAGTGACCCAAAAATGAAAAAAATAGCTTTCCTATAGGGCACTTTTAGTGAAGTCAGAAGCACATGGTGCTAATGCCTAATCCACTGTGTAGCATCTGGTTTTCTAGCATAATCTTTACCCACAGTCTGAACATCCTTTCATTATAGAAGACTTTTTGGCAATACTTAACAATTCTATTTGAGGGGTCAAACTACTGGGTAGAATTTCTGATATAGTGTTTTGGCTTTCAAAATGCTATGTTTCCCTTCCTGAGGCTTGAAGCAAAGGATTTGTAACAGTAGAAGGAGTGAGTTCCCAGGGCACTGCACACCAGAAAGAGTGCTTTGCTCTTGGGGCATCTGCCCCAGAGGATGGAGAGCCACGGGTGGAAGAATGAGAGAAATACTACTGCTCTGCACATCACTGAAACTGTTGTTTTATAGAGGATGAATTCTGCTAAGGGGATATTCACAATACTCAGGGGTTTTCTTCTGCATGTCATGTTGCTAAGAGGTTAATGTGCACAGAGGATTACACAACAGGAGATAAGAAGCGTGGTGATAGATGGTGTATTATAAGGATTACTGTTGTTTTTGCACAACTCAGCCATATTTATGGGGGCTTATGCACCATCCTTGTTCTGACAGATTTCAGTGGTCAGGGTACAGATTAGAATAAACAGAGAAACCCACAAATGTATCTTTCGTAGAAGATTATTTAGAGTATGTGTCGCTGCTATTTTCCTTTGATGATGTCAATTTGCAGCTTGCCTTTCTAAAAATGCTCTTTGTTTCAGCTACATACCTCCAGGACAGGCTGACTAACCTTTGTAGCAAACCCTTTCGCCCAAACGGATGGATCAGTAGTTTAGAAATTCTGGTTGTTAGCAGCCAGAAATTGTAAGCTTTGGTTACATCCATATGGTGCTTCTTCAAGCCCTTTCTTGGATGTGGCAGCTATCAGAAATACAGTTTCATAGGCTGGCCCTTGCTCTAGCTTATGTTACAAAAGGAACCTTCAGTATAAACAGAATTCAGTTTTATACCATGTAACCAATGTCATTGTATTATAAATAAATATAGATGTATACGTATTTATGTGTGCGTGTATATGGGGAGATACATATATACATATATCTATATATATTCCTCTAAAAGAGTCTCTTGGTGCCCCTACTGAACAAGTAATGAGTGAAGAAAACATGGTAAGGTAAAGGTAAATTGTTGGGAATGCTCTGGATATCAGCTTATTGGGAAGATCCTCAAAGCAGTGACCCAATGCCACCCGACAAGCTCACAGGCCTCTGTAGAGACATTTTGGAATTGCCCATGGGAAGACACACACAAAGAAAGATCTCTGAAGCAGCTAATTAGAAACTACCCAGCAACCAGAACAAAACCAGTTAATTAACCATAGTCTCTAGGAAAAAAATCCCACTCTGTCCAGAGAATAAAGACCACACTATTAATATAAAATGGTTAGATAGTGTAGCTATCATACAAAGGAACAGAAGTGCCATGAGAGTCATAAGACTCTTTGTGTTGACTTTCTGCAATTCAGAGAATGAATGCCAAGGAATGTCCTGGATTAGTGAATTTCTGGCATCCTGACACAGCAAATTAACACCACTTTCTTCCTCCTTTGTGGGATGGTTTTGGTTTTTCTTTCTCTGTTTTCAAATTTGGATTTAGAATTTCCTAAATAGTTTCCTGCTACTCTGTTGCAATTTTAAAATATGCACAGGCATATACACACATATTTTATCTGTTTTAAAGGAAGGTCAGGCTTACAAAGTGAGTGTTAAAGAAAAAAAAAAAAGGAAGAGGAATGTCAGAAGTCAGGTTTTCACTGTCACTTAAATTTATTCCTCTTGTGCATAGATATTAAAATATAGCTGTAATTATCTGGTCACATACAGGATCTTCTTCTTCATGGAGCTATTCAACATTTCTTTTTATCTTCTTTATTCACTGTGTGGTGCCAGGTCTTATTAAATTCATACTATTGAAACCTTTCATTGAATAAAAAATTATTAGTTTGTCTCACATGCTTGCTTATCTGTCATGCTCTCAACCGTAACATTTGAGTGCTTCACAAATAGCGCTGAATTTAACATCACAATGGTAAAAATGTGTCATTATCCTAACTTTACACATAGAGAGGTGAGGTACAGAGGCAGTTGTTGCTGAAGAGACTTGTGGAGTCAGATATGCCCACTGTTATCAAATGGCTGATTGCAAGCCTTGGACATGAATTATTTTTTACTTTTATCAAAACATTTTGCATTGCAAGAGCATATGGTGTACTCCAAGCACTTTTGTAGCTGACCTCAGCCATGGTTCAGCACTTGTAACCTCGGTGGGCATTAAACTGAAAGTTTCATTAGTGACCAGATATGAAATGTTTTCTGCATTAGAAAGAAGCCCTGTGGCACAAGCAGGAACAAAAATAAGTTCTTCGATATGACAAAAGAATTGTTGCTTTGAAATCCTGACTGCCTTCTCTGAGGCTACCAGGCAGAAGGATAATTTATTTTCATCTGTCTTTTAATTTGATGTAGATCTTAAATGAATGTACTTCACTGGAAGCTTCAAGAGTCAAGTCCATTAGACTGTCTTCCAGTGTATCATCCCTTTGTGCCATGTTCCTGTAGGACAGATAAATACTAGTGTAGTTTGAATTTCCAGAGAGTACTGTGAGCCCATGCTAGTGAGTTCAGCACAGCATGAAAGCTTTTTCTGCCCAGATGGAGAATTGCTGTGGGTATTGCTGTGGGAGCAGAGTATTTCTTAGGGCATTTTGGGGCACAAATTTGCGTGCTACAGAGCATATTACAAAACGTCTTTAGGGTGCAGATTAGCATGTTTGCCTGGGAGGAGCTTACGTTTGTAGCATAATCTGCATTATGAATTTCTTGCCATCTTTTTAACAGTCTAATAGCCATTGAACCTGTCTTGTGTTCTGCTGGGGCATGTGCAGATTTGAACATGCAGGGAAAACGAGTTTCCTGTTCTGCAGAAATGGCTTTGTAGATACCTCCTGCACTATGTACTCATCATAAAAGGAGGTGAGAAAGAGCACAGAGGACCAATTATACTTGTAGGTCACCTTAAAGCATTAGGTCAGAGCTGAGTAGCAACCACCCATAAACATCTTTCTTCTGCCTTTTAAGGAGCATCTGCATTTTCTGCCTCCTGTCCTTTGAGGGAGAAAGTGTGTCTTTAGATCAGCAACTCTTGCAGATCTTTTGAGTTGATATCACTGCTGCTTGTACAAATTCAAGAGTATTTAAGTGTCATGGGAATTCTAGAAATGTTATTGGATCCCAGTATTTCAATGCAGAGGGTTCCTGCAAACACTGAAGTAATGCTGAGCACTTTGTACAAGTGGCAACCACTTACCAAAAAAAAAAAAAAAAGAGAGAGAGAGAGAGAAATGAGAATAGCTAGAAAGTATTAGATTTTTTCATCAAGTCACAGCACATGTTTCTGCAACTCTGCCTGCGTGTGAACATGTACCAAACTTACAGAGATATTTAATGCTCAGGGTAGTTGAATTAATTTCTCAATTGCTTAACATGTAAGGATTTCTTTTTAGTGGCCTGCTGTAGGCGTGACACATAATTACCACAAAAATGCAGCAAACTGTTAAGTCACAGGCTTTGTGAAAATTGTGTGAGCCCCAAATCAAGCTAGTTTGTAGCACCCATAAACATGTCGGCCCTGTTGTGTCTGTTTTCATAATCCTTTTATTGTTTAGTCTTTCAGGTTAGGAACTTAAAAGTCTAGGAGGAAAATATGTGTATGGGCAATTTGTATATTACCTATACACAAATAGACACAAAAGTGTAATGCAATCAAAATTGTTACACTATAGCCATACTGTAGGGGTTCAGTTCCTCTCAGTGAGTTGGTGGGTGCACTTGTGTTTGTGCTTTACAAAACACTTTCCATTCCGTTTTGTAGCATCGCACAGTGTTCAGCCTCGTCAGTTCTGAATTTCCAGTTGTTCTCCACTAGGCAGCAGTCAGCAGAGCTGGAACATAGAGCAAGGAAAAAATGGAAAGTCCTAAGAAAGTTATGCTGGTTTTCAGTGTAGCTTCTTACTCAGAAGTTAGGCAAAAATCAAACTTGATGTTTGATTATTAAACATCATAGCACTATGTTGTAATTTAGGTTAAGGATCTGTATTGCAAAGTGCACGAAAGTGTTATTTTTGCTGAATTTTGTAGTAAACGCGGGGTTCATAGAAGTCTTTATGTCCGTAAAACATTTAGTTAATCAAAGTCAAACATGGATAAAAACAATTTACTCTGATTTACAGACTCCCTTCATCTGGAAACAGCTGCTTAATGTTCTTCTTAAAAACACAGCTTGATTCTTTTGGTATTAACAAGCTATTATTGTGAGTTATATCCCTCTTTCAGTGCATAAATTCACTTAAAGTGAACGTAGAGAAGTTTATAAAATGCAAGCTTAATGTTGTTGTAACATATGTTGCAAGGTTTTTAACAGTGACAGTTTTGATGAAAGACATTTCTGCCTTGCTTTCATAAATAAAGCTTTCTTCTTGCTTGCCCTGCTTTTTAATGTCTAAGAGTCTGTGTCCCCTCTGAATGCCTCAATAAACTGTAACAAGATTATAGGAGAAGCATAATAGACTGTGGTTTGTGTTTTCAGCCTTAAATTCATTTATTCTTAAGAGAAGTCAAACAAATGTATCTCTAATTTTGGAATATCTTTGAGCTAGCAAATTGACAGGAACACAAGAGATATCCTACTTGTTGAATCTTGGTTATAACCCAGAGGTTTACCAAACACTCAGCTGTAAAGTCTTGTTGTTTGTGCTGCACTTTCTTTGCTCTTTCTTTGGTGGCTACAGAAGCAGCTGGATTTGGTTTAGTTTTATACATCAAATTGTTTTGACTGTTTTTTACAGGCAGAATTAATCCAAGCATCATAATAGCTAAAATCACTGGGGTTTGCTTTCTTTGTTTTTCCTGCAAGATAAAAAATGCATGCAACCTCTCCAAGATAAAACACATGTAAAATTTTTCTTCAAATAAAAATCCTATTTATATTTATGATCGATTAAAATTGTTAAACTTCTGTGCATGGTCCAGTCTTGAATTCTGCTTGCCTAGCAACAAATAAAATATAAACCAAAACCAACATTCCATCTCCATCTGATGGCCTGAAAGCATCACAGCCTCAGGATGCAAAGAGACTGCTCAGACTGTGAATGCAAGAAACAGGACATGTCTTTGGAATTTGTTTTCTCTGCATCTGTCTTATGTTTATTTTATTTTCCTGTGCATCCCATGAGCTGTGAGCCAAGTAGTGGACTAACTGTAAGCATGCAGCGTATCTTCAAAGACTTGTCCTTTTCTGAGAAGAATTTGTTTTTCTTTTCTTCTCATATTTCATCACATCAGTAGCCAAGACATGCTCAGTAAGTTTACATGCAGCAAGCCTTATGCCAAAGTTTCCTTTTCATGATTTGTTGCAGGGGTGGGGCCTTGTTTTATGATTTTAGGTGGTATTTTCCATGATATACAGAGCTGGAGAAAGCAAAGCAGAAAGAAATGTTCTGTAACAAGTAATGTGAGACAAATGTACTTTACAGACAATTAATCAAGAGTGACTTACAAGAAGGCAGTTTGATTATTAAATTCAGCACCAAATGTTAATTTTCTCTTTTTGATGAGGGCAAAAGTATCCTAGGCAAACGTTTTGTTTTCTTTTTATGCAGGTTGTTTCTTTTTCAACTCCAATATGTTTATTGCTATATTGTTTAATGTCATTTCCAGGTTGACCGCCAGTCCCAGTTTATTCAGGGCTACAGGGTGATGTACCGCCAAACGTCTGGCCTGCCTTCTCCAGCTGTGTGGCAGAATTTGGAGGTCAAAGTCCCCACTGAACGCAGTGCTGTCCTCGTCAGCTTGAAGAAGGGGGTCACTTATGAAATAAAGGTTCGCCCTTATTTCAATGAATTCCAAGGAATGGACAGTGAATCCAAATCTGCTCGTACCACAGAGGAAGGTTAGTAAAAGGGCCAGAAAAGCAACAGGCTTCCATACCTAGCACAGGGGGTGAAAGGAACAGTGACCATTTTGGTTATGGTGTGTATGCATTTGTTCAGCTCTATTTCCTCCGTGTGATTTCTGTTTGTTAGATACACAGGCGAGGTAAGAATTTGACATGATGTTCAGTTTTGTGCTTTAGGTGTTCCACGAGAAAGCACCGGGTCAGTCTTTTATTGTTTTAGTTGATACATCCTTCTAATGCAGCGATGGCTTTGGGTCTTCCAAAAAGTGTGTGCTGCAGCAATTCTTTTATAACCACTGCTGTTGCAATAAAAGGGTTTGGTCTGCTCTTTGAAAAATAAACAAATGAAAGCTTTTGCAGATGAGCGTTTGATATTAAGCACATCTTTCTCAGTGGATAATAATGCAGATGAACAGTTGGTTGGGAAATGAGGAGAAGGACACATGTTTAACTGGTCTGAAGGAACTCCAGTCTCAAGGGGATGCCACTTCAGTGTTTCTGTTAGCACACTGTTCATGAAACTGCACAGCCCTTTGGAGGATTTCCTTAAGCACCTTTCAAGCCTCTCTGAAACAGCCAGAATTCAGACATAGTAAACAGTTTACACTACTGAGTTGTTCAGGCTTTTGTATCTGTAGCATACAGCCTGTATATAGTTTTGCTAAAGCATATGAACTCCAAGGCTTCCGGTTTTGATTTGAAAAGTAGAGGGAGTGAGGTGAGATATAAGTAATTTTAATAATTTTCTCTTAGAAACCTGTCTTTCTACTTATCTAATGCAGCCTTTGCCTGGAGAATCTCTCCTGTAAATGCAAGATGGTCATAACAATGAGAATTATTTTCTCTGTTTCACTGATTTTTTTCTATATTTTTTTTTCAAAACAAGAGAAATGTTGGTGAAGCTTCAAAATGTTCATATGGTTTCAAAGGGTTCTAAGTGCACTCTTTCCTTCCTATTGAAGGTGCATCTTAATCATTTACAGTGGTCTCCTGAGGTTTAATTTAGTGTTGATTACCAAGTACTTTTTAATTCTAGAACAGAGTTGCTTATTACTCACTTTTCTCTTTGATTTGTTATGATTATTGCCCAATATGTAAGTAATCCTGAAGATGACTTGGTTGGAGTTTGCACGTTATGGATGAAGAAATTCACTGCACTGCAACATGTAGAAGAGTGTGTAGGAAGGCATTGCTCAAGTCTCATTTGGAATTTGAGACTTCGTGGCTCCCAGTTCTTTGTTCAAACAGTAAAGCCTAAATCAGTTGGTAAAGAATATCTTTGCAGCAGTCTGAACAAAGCTTTTTTTTTTTTAAAAAAAAAGAAAATTGTAAAAAGCTTTCTACAGGTGAAACTGCTTTTCTAGAGTTAAAATGTAGGATTTTGTCCTCTCACTAGCAGATTTTCTTCTTGTCCAATTTCAACTGATTTTTGATGTTTATTTGGCTTCGTCTAACTGTCTCTTGCTAAAGGTAAATTAAGAACTACTGAAAAAAAAGAGAAGATTTTATATCTTCTGTCTGTTCCTATAAAATGCTTGAGGAATGACATTCTCTTTTATAAACCTCATCTCCCAGCAGAGCCTGTCAGGTAATTTCTTACCTTAAAGGACACTTTGTTCATGTGGAATAGCTTTCCACATAGTGAGGATTTAAAAAAATTTCATGCCCACAGATATGTATAACTCACAGCCAAGGATCTGCTTTGTAGATTAATATAACCTTCAAGGAGTCTGTTTACAACTCTCTCTTCTCAAAAAACCATCAGCCCAGAACATGTAGTATTATCACCTGACAAATGTCAGACCCTGTAAAAAATTTTTCCTCTTCTCTGGGTGATAAAATTAAGTACTTCCATGAGAAAATTAAGGCATTGGGTAGATGCAGTTCTACAGATATTTCCTTTAATTCCTCATGTTATCCTTGTAATTATATGGGTGTTCGTGTATTTCGAAAATAGCACCAACTAAATGTTTAATGAGAGTGGTTTGCTTCTCATCCACTGAAGAAAGATGGCAGTCTATTTAAAGGTATCCCACTTGCTGTGTTGCCTGTGATTCCATTTCGAAAATGAGCTTTTTTAGGCTTGACTTTTAAAAAATGTCAGCTGTGCTATTTTTAGAAAATAATTTGGAAGAGTGATACGCGTGTTGGAAGTTTTTTGTGACATCAAAACAAATAGCCCTGATAAAGGCAAAGTACGACCAGAAGGTAGTGGCAGCTTTCTGCTGGATTGAATTTTACATGCGATGTTACGTCTGAGGCCTACCCCCAAAAATCAATTTTGCTGCAGTTAGACTTTTCCTCTAGATCAGGCATTTGTCACAGTTCAGTATCCATCCATCTCCTGCCTCTTTGGCCTTGTGAAGGTAACAAATGGAATTCTGTTTGGCTGCGTCTGGAAAAGATGAGCAGCGATTTGGGTTCTTTCATATCTGTAAGAAGAAGCTGAGCACTGGAATAATTGACCTGTCAAGAAGCAGGCAAGGTGTTCTCCACAAGCCAGCAGCAAGGGAAATGAGAAAATGGTTTTAAAAATGTTATTTTTCAATGTGATCTATTTAATAACTGCAGCAGTGTCAGACGAGAGGCTTAATTTATATCATGGTGCCAGCTTACAGAGTGATATTATCAGAGAGAAGAAACAGAACTATTATATACATACATGTGTACACACATACAAAGGGGCTAAATCAAATATTTTACTGTATCACTTTCACTATTTCCTTCATACTTGCTCTAGAGACAGATGACTTTTTTTTTCAATTGCATCCACTGTTTTAAATCTCTCTTGGAATAACTTTTTGGAGTAGTCTTTTGTTTGTCATCATAAAAATAGGACAGTTGGTAATGGAAGCCTCCTTAGCTTTTATCAGCTGCTGTCTGTCAGTTCCTCCTCACCTTAGTCTGGCTCTTAAAATGATACTTTGAGCTGTATTCATCAGCTGCAGTTTTAGTTTTGCTTGCAAGTTAACATGTATCCTCCAAAAAAACCCCGCCCTGTACTGGTAGAATATTAACTACAATACTCATAGCATTTAAATGCAAAGACAAATAAATGAATACAGTATGTTTTTCTTTAAATTTTAGGGTATGGTATTCATTTTACATTTCTTTGCATTCACACTCCCCATCCTCCCAGGTATGTCTATATAAGAAATTATATTTCTGAATGCCCTTTTTGTTTGAGTAATGAAAGTGCATACATTTGAGCACTGTACTTAAGTTCCATTGTACTTAAAAACACAAATGAGTTATACAGTGTTAAGCTTTATCATTTTTATGATTTTTATTTTCATTTAAAATATGCTAATTAGTATCACACACATACATTTATTCACGGTTTTGTTGTTGAATATCTTGAAGACTTGCAAAATGCTAATTGTTTTACTGTGTGGCAAATTATTTCCCTTGCCATAAAACACACAATGCAACTATTAACTTCCCCAATTTTATGCTTTGCACAGTTGCAAGGAGTAGCCCAAGGCCACCTTTCCGTGCTTCGCTTGAGCTGGCTGAGTCAAATTGTCCACAATACAGCTCCATTTCTCCCCTCCAGTGCACTGTTTCTCTGCATCAGGCAAGGTCACAAGGACTATACCAAGCTCTGCAAGCTTTGCAGCTGAACCAGCTTCTGAAAATGTAGCTGTCGAAATGTGCAGCCTTCAGGGACTGTAGTATGGGTTTCATGTTTTGTCTAAAATATTTTTTTTCTGATATAATCTTGTATGGTCCCTTGTCCCCACCTCTGATACCCTGGTTTGAAGTTATGTCCTTCCTGCAGCAGAGTACTCCAACTTTTCAGGGTTATCAGGGTAAAGATTTGAGCTCAGCTCCCTGAGCCTGTGCCAGGTCAAGTACTGAGAAGCTTCCAAAGTGGGAACACAGCCAGTCTCAAAGAGGTCATGGGGAACAATAAGAAAATCTGAATTGGCTCAGTAGACTTGAATACCTCTGATATCTGTGGCTGTGCTTAGTTGTGTTAAACCTGCCAGGCTTTAATGCAGAGATGCCAGAGGTCTTGGCTTTTCTGAGAAGCATGGTCCAAGCATGGTCATGCACTCAGGATATCTGTTAAAGATAAGAGTAGAGCCCTGTTACCATAGAGCTCAGTCACTCTAGACCAGGGCAGTGGAGCCAGGGAGCTGTAACACAGGATGTGAGATGCCCAAAACCAGAGAGCTATCTAGATTTGAAGCTGGGGTGGGGGACTGATAAATATTTTAGGTTCTGGTACAAGGTCTACTATAAGTCTTCAAAATCGGCATCCATATTTCATATCAAATGTTTTAAGATCATATTAAAGGCAACAAATACACGGAAGACAAATTCCATAAATAGTTATTGAACACAAAGTCATCACCCTGGAACAGAAGGTGTCTAAGCAACAGTCTTCTGTGAATTGGAAAATTGTCCTGGAGAGGTATCAATATATATTCACTTTATTAGTTCACTCTTTCCTAGCCTCTTTCTGTTAGTTTTGTTGAAGACCAGGTAGATGGACTGGGATAAATGGAATAGTTGGATTTTTGGTCTATTTCAGAGCAGCTACTATCAAGAACTTTTTCCCCCCAAGGACCATACCTTAATATAACACACTCGACCTCAGTGGCTTATCTTGCCACTGTGGTGGTGTTTCAACACTTACTTGGAAGAAAGGGAAGGGCAAGGGGGGTTGCAAGAGGCTTTAAGTGGCTGGGGAGGGCCATATTCTCAGCCCTCTGCACTGGCAGCTGTAGCTATGGTGGGAGAACCCTGCTTGGAGATGCAGCAGATGCTCACAGAGGGGACTTTTCCATAGCTGAGCTTCTGCTCCACTTCCCAATCCACATGTCCTTAGCCAACAAAACCACCCTGCTGCTGGTGTAGCTGCTACAGGGGCTTTGCCAGCATAGCCTTGATCACTAACAACTATGATTTTTTTTTTTCACACTTCTAGACAACTAGGAGGGCTGGCAAGCAATTGTCTTGTAGAATTGGCCTTGATATGCAGTGACCAGCCAAACAGCTGTGAATGGTTGAACTGAACAGGCCTCTGAAGAGAAAGCAATTTGCCTAGGGGAAAAAAAGGACACAAGTATATATCTGACCTAACTTAGCACCTGCCCTATTCACTGGTATTTGATGTAAAACCATGAACAATTTAACCCTTTTTCATTTCAGAGATGCAAGGTCTTATGTTTAAACCTGTTAATGTCTTCCTGAAGAATGAATAGAAACAAAAAAGGATCCTATTATTATTATTATGTGGAGAAAGAAGAACCAAAACACTTTTCAGGCCAGATGAAGCAGCTTCACACGTGACTTGGTTGATATATATGTAACTATCTAAGTTTATTATGGGAAACAAAGGCTGGAGTGAGACCAGTTCCAATGCAAAATTAAGAAATGCTAAATATAAATAAATGAGGAGTGATTTGTATTGATTCTCCATTGCCACAAATTCCACATTGTCATTCAGCTCTATGCTTCTCTGCAGAAAGGCATTTTTCAAAATTGACAGTGCCTAACAAAATGTGCATACCTAGGCCTGCAGGGAGTGTGAACTTTCTATACTGCCTGCTTGCTCTTGCAGGGTTTCAGCAGACTTCGTGCTCTAACAAATGTATTAATGTCTTGCTTCTGTTTGTTCTCTCTCCTTGGTGTAGCTCCAAGTGCCCCTCCTCAGTCTGTTACTGTCCTGACAGTTGGAAACCACAACAGCACGAGCATCAGCATCTCCTGGGATCCTCCCCCTCCAGATCACCAAAATGGAGTCATCCAGGAGTATAAGGTAGAAATGATGTCTAATGGAAGGGTTGTGAATTTAAGGAAACAGCCTGCTTGAACAGTAGCCACGTTTATGGATTTAGATTCTGACAGCTTTTACAGCTTCCCTTGTAATTATATGGAGAAAGAGGACTGACTGCTTATGGATTTTTTATTTTTTTTTAAAGCAGTACTACTGTTATATTAAAAATAAAAAATACCATGGAAGAGAGATTTAATTTCCAGCTAGTTTACAGTACTTCCCTTTTTTACTTTTCCCTGCTGTGGAAGGAAAGAAGAGGAGTTTTTTGTTAAGGGCTTCTGTACTCTAAAGACAGGCAGTGAAGTCCTTGTCTTAGAATGCCTTTAATCTGGCAGAAAAGCTAGCAGGAAAAATATCTTTTCTTTCCCCTGCAAAAATGCTACTCCTAACACTTCAAGGGCAAAGTCAAGGACTGTGGCTCTGGGAGAATACAAGGCTTCTTCTAAGTACTATTTCTGTCAAGCTTCACAACTTAAAATGCTGGCTTGTTTGCTCTGAGGAACAGGTTGAACAGAACTACTCTATCCAGAGTTTGTTACATGAGAGTTGTTTCCATTGGGTTGTATATTCTTCTTCTTTGTTGCTGTGATAGCTCAAAGTATCCACTCCTTTTATATTATCTTTAAATTTTGTTGTAGTCTATAATTCCATACTGAGATCACTTTGGCACAAGTATATTTTGACAACATGAAAGAAATGCAGTGTTATTGGGTTGGAGGACTATGGAGAAGATGACTGGGCAAGGTTCAGCATTATGGCAGGCTTGTGACCATGGAGCACACTGCTTGGTAAATCAGCCTTACTGTGGCTGACCTATACAGCAAGTGTGAAATTTTTAATTGAAAAAGTCCAGGGCAGCTTTCTTGCTGCTTTCCACAAAGGGTGGAAATGGTGGGTGCAGCTTATTTCACACAAAAAGATGTAATTTTTTTGGCCATGGGGTATCTTGAGGGAACACAGCATGAAGAAGGGAGAAGGTGCTTGACTTTTAAATCAACTAATTGGTTCAACTTCTTCCACCTTTTTGCCTGGTCAGAGGGATGCAGTAAATACTCACAATATTTATGTTTAGCACAGGGCTTCCTTTGTTTTGCTTTCAGTCAATATCAAGATTTATTAATCCCAGTATTTTATTGATCTAATTTTCATATCAATTAATAATTATCTCTTGGCTTAATTAATCTTGGTCCTGACTCCAGTATAAGTCAATATAAATCGTCAAGGGCTTACAAGCAAATAAGTAAAGCACATTCCTAAACCACAAAATATGTAGATATGAAACAAAGAGGGCTGATGGTTAATAAAAGCCATGTTCCAGGTGAGTGCTCAGACCTCTGGGCTGTGTATAAAAACAGCTGGAGTCACTACCTATTACATCCCTTCTGTGTTAGATTAGGTGGCTGCCTGATTAGTGAGCTGGCTGCTGGGACTGTGCTGCAGTTTAATATTTCCCTGAGTAAAAAATGTCTGATGAGGTTTCACAGTACAGTTTCTGACAAATTGAAAGTAGATCTGTTGATTCTGCTTCAAGCATAGGAGCACCTGTAAATTCATTTATGAATTAAATGCCTTTAATTAGAGGCATCTCATAGCTGCTGTAAACTAAGACCAGGACAGATAAGGAGAAAAGGAATGAATGCAACAGTTTCTCACCCTAATTCATTCTGGCCTGCGAATCAGATCTCATTGAGCTTAGGAAAACAGAGGAGTTTTTTTCCCTTCAAATCTTTCTCAATGTTTCACAGGAAAAAAAAAGAAAAAAAAAAGAGAAGATGTGATAAAACACTAAGCAGGGTAAAAAATTAGGGTAAAGATAGCATTGCTGTTGCTTAGATCCATCAGTTGGTTGCTGACAGTGGTTCCAGCAGTAGTGCTTTCTTCTGCTATTATTGTTATGTGAGTGTACATGTGATGTATTTGTGTATTGATTTTCTTGAGAGGTAGTAAATGCATTTTTAAATAATACAGAAGCAGTATATGCAGATAACATTAACTGAAGAAGTTTTTGAAACCTCTTTGGAGAAACCTATGAAAAAATAGCAGAGACAGATGTAGCACCTTGAAATCATAGAGTTCTCATCACAAAATGCCAGTTGAGATTATAGGGTGGTTTTCCTGTTTAATTAGATAATAATTGAATCAGGAACTGATATCTGGATTCCTAAACAATGTAAGTAATCACAAAGGCAGCAGTAAAAAGTGAGTCTGTACTTATTCCATTTCATAAATTTCAAATATCCCTGTTGCGCAATGAAAGGAAGTTGGAAAGAATTTTGAAAATTGTTTGTTCTTTAGTTCTTTAAGAAGTGTTTTAACATGTTCTCATGTTATTTGCTGTCTTTTTGCTATTCAGTGGAAAATCTGAAAGGAAAAAATGTGGGTTTTTTAAAGGACAGGTTTGGTGGTATTCATGTTACTGAACAAGATTTTAGTTAATGTATAACATCTTTTTCACTTGGATGATCTGGTCTGGGCTTCTAAGAAGTGTAACCACAGAATTTGCATTCCATGGAGAGCCAGAGTCCAGAGAGTTATTTGCATGCAGTTTTTGCAGCTGGCTTGGTCCTGTGCTAATCTGGCACAGTTTGCTGAGCTAAATCATTCTAATTTCAGCCATTCCTGGACAGTACTACTGTTAAGAAGCCTGAAATAAGTGATTGTCATGAAATGCTTTGATATGTCATATCTGTGCACGATTGTGTGAGTGTGAAGAATTCCATCTATTTTAACACATCAACTTTTGTCCCAGATCTGGTGCCTAGGTAATGAGACTCGATTTCATATCAACAAAACAGTAGATGCAGCCATTCGGTCTGTAGTAATAGGTGGCCTATATCCAGGTATTCAGTACCGCGTGGAAGTTGCTGCAAGCACCAGTGCAGGTGTGGGAGTAAAAAGTGAGCCACAGCCCATAATAATTGGTAAGTGATTGTCTGTTCTGTTGTTTTGTTTTGCCTGTTTTGTTGTGTTTTTTTTTTCTTTCAGAAATGCTTTCGTAAATCACTTCTGGAAGCGTAAAAATCCACGGAGCAAAAGATAAGATTTGAATAGAGCTGGTTAGTTAGCTTTTAATGTCCCAATGCCTGCTGATGTTGTGTCTTCCCTTCATGCAGAGTTCTTGTAGCCAATGGAGGGAAGTATGTTCCCAAGACACAAAAGAAAATGCAGATTGTCTAGTAGAACTGGCTTAATGTGGGTTTTTTAATGAATTTACCACTTCTGCAACTTGACGGATTTATGGAACTAACAGCCTGAACTCCCTTTTCCCTCTGCTAAGATGACTGTAATATTGCCTTATTCATCCCTTTGGTGCCTAAGGCACTGTTTATTGTTGTTTTATGAACATTTGAAGTCAGTGTTTCTCAGGTATCCCAAACAGACAAGTGTCCTCTGACAAAGAGTAAGTGGCCTTCACACAAAATAGAGAGCAAAGGTAGCATTATAATCCCTGCCTTTGGAATGGTCATTTCTTAGTAGTGATTTCCATGCAGAATTGATTTCCTGACCTGAGGAAAACACAGATTCTGTTTCTTCTGAAATTTTTCCTAAGTATAAAACATAAAGGCAGGAACAATATGGAAGAATAGAAGTAATCATAATTAGCAAACCTGAACTGAGCTATGCAAAGCAGTACCTCCTTTGAGTACATAATACAGGAATTCTGTTGCTTTTATCTGTATGACCTAATTTAGTTATTACTTGAATATACTTTTGTTTGTTTGTGGGACTTCTGTTGTTATTAAATATTTTCTTTCTAGAAAATGTTGTCAACACACCATCCCAAAGATGGACTATTCTGTTATGTGTAGACCTTTAGAAAAGGCCATCCCCTCAGCATTGCTTAAATGTTTAATGATATTCGGGTTCCCCACTCATCAAAACAGAAACTAGAGTACTTCAACTTTGAATATATTGTCACTGGAGACAGAAATACAAGAGTAGAGGTGAAGGTAGCACTGGTTTTAGAAAAAGGCAGCCAAAGATATGCCAAAGAAAAGAGGGGAAAAAGATTTCTAGAACTGAAAGTAAGAAATCACCTAATAGGGTTAGATTTTGGACCTCTGTGTCAATAATTGATATTGTAAGACTAGTCTGTCACTGCATCCACTTTGAGCAGGACCTCCTTTTATTATTTCACTAAGGAAATAATCTAACTAGGCACTACACTTATTCCAGCAAAGCACATAAGTGTGTTGCATTTTAAGTACATCAGTAGCCTTGTGTCATTTAATATGAAGTAAACTTGCACCAAAGGTCTTCGTTGGATGATTCTCAGAATGTTCAGCCCCACATCTGGGTACAACCCTTCATCTTGAATTTTTCCTTACAAAAAAGTGACTGGTATAATCAAGAGTTAAATGTGGAGAGGTCTGTATTGTTGCCAGAAGAGGGAAAGGGATGTTAAGGGTGTAAATAAAGTAAGAAAAGATAAAAATTGGTTGGCATTTAGAGACTTAATTTTATCTCATTAATCTTAGTGATGTTTATTTGTTCCTAAAATGACCCCAGAATATCTGCTTCAACAAGTCTGTCTGGTGGCATCTTTGCACATTTAAGAGTCTTTTGCATTAAAAGTAAAGGAGAGTACTTTCTGTTTGGGTTATATTTCTGTCCTCATTTCTGTTTTCCCTTTTGGTGGCCCAAAGCTGGATGTGGTTACTACATATATGGTCTGTCTCCCTTTTTTATTATTAATAGTAATAATTATTATTAGACCCCCTTTTTTATTATTAATTGCTGAGAGCTATTTCTCAGACTATAAATTTGTTTGATAAAGGCAGCAGTGTTTAAGTGATACCATTTCTGGAAAACCTGAGTTGGTACCATTCAGCGTTTGACTGGGAATCAAAAACATAAAACAGGAATTTATTTTTTTTTTAAGTAAATGAAAAAAACTAATTGGATGGATTAAAAATGAGCTAATGAATAAACCTCAAAAACATCTTAATGAATATGAAAACATTAATGAATGATTGTATTATAATGGAATCCTATATGGCCTGGTGATTAGCTATACTATTGAACAGCTTGCAAACAGAATGGGCAACTCCAGAAATGCTGAATTATGGACAGAGTAGGTCAGTGATGCAGAAGAATTAAGCTATGTTTCTAAGCATTGCAACTTTCATTGTCATGAAATACAGAGTCCAGTGTATAAAAAAGGAAAATATTATTCTTAAATACAGGATTTATTCTTCTAAGAAGGTCTTTTCTTAAAATAACTGTTTTTCATGGTGGATAATCAATTACTGGCTTCCCAGAGCAGTTCTAGATAACAGACCTGTGACAATCCAGAAAATAAAACCTGGAGAATATGGAGCAGTAGGAGGTGTATTATTTCTTTAGTTAGAAATTGTCTCACTGTTACAGGAATGCTGTGCCCATACTTCAAGCAGGATGTTGAAAAATTTTATGGAACACTAAAAGAGAATCAATAAAATTTTTATGATCATTAATGATATGCTAAAAATTTTTCTGCTGGAGAAACAGAAACAAAAATGGAGATAACAGCAATGTTGGTTAATGCCATAGCTATTATTCCTCCTCATCAGTTGGCCTGTTCACTCTTACATTCCATCATTGGCATAATAATATGAGGAACAGCTGCAAACTTTCACAGTAATAGGTACAATCGAATCTGATGTGTCTAATTAATTTTTGGTCCAACAAATTAGTTTTGTTCTTCATTACTCTCCAATGGGAGGAAGACATTATATTTCATTATGTTTTTGTCTTCAGGAACAATGGAGCGTTACAGGTCGCACACTTCCCTTGTCTATGTTCTAATTAGTTGAACTGACAGCATTGTTACAGAAACACCTGCACTATATGAAATAGTACTGCACTGGTACCTTGGATGACATATTTATTACTTCTGCTTAAATATTATATAAAGAAGTATAAAACTAATGCCTTTTGTTTCCCCAACCCCCAACGCTTATATTAATTTCATCAAACGTCAGCGGATAACTTTCATCTGTATCCATTTATTTTTCCGTCATCAAATTCACAAAGCATATGTTATTTTGACATTTAAATGAATTATTACTTTTGCAGTTGTAATTGCTAGGCACAGAAGGGTAAGAGCAAGCAGCCAGACTGCAAACTTGAGAAGCTAATTTGGAGACAGATTGCATCTTCCCCTAGAAGAGAGGGAGAGAGTAAAGCCCACTGAAAGCTCTCCACAGGCTCTCTGTGGTTTGCTCTCACATTCTCCATTTTAAAAAGATTGGTTTCTGACTTTACAGAAGAATATGGGATCCTCAGACGTTTTGGAGGCTTTTCTGGACAGAGCTTGTACTTTTCTTGAGTCCAGGAGCATCACCTCCCAAAGTCAGTCTCTTGAACCACGTCCCTGCCTGCTCTTCTCCATGGCAGCACAGCTGCCTCTGAAGCAGTGCCAAAATTACGTGTTTCCCCACCATCCCACTGCTTTGGTCTCTCCTCCAAAGGGCACAGAAATTAACTCCAAGTTAATGGCAATTAAAGCAACACGGATTCCCTTGCTGATTTCTACTAGAAAATCAACTGTGGTCCTGGAAGAGCATGCCATAGAGTGCCTCCTTCTATTAGTTTTACTCACAGCCCTTCCTCTTTCAGCACTGGGGTGCACCTAAAGCTGGTTCCATGGTGATATGGTTTGAAGCTGGCTCCCTGCCAAGTCTTCAAACCTTACCACCAGAAGTGTCGTGTCCCGTCCCCCCCCCCCAAACCTCAGGGAGAAGAGGGAGAAAAAATTAAGAAAAACCCGAAACGAGAGAGAGACAACTAAAGTGATATATATAAATATATATTTACACTTATATACAATTAAAATATACAATTTCACAAGGGAAAGGGAAGGGGGAAGGGAAAAGGAACAAAACTAAAATAAAATATATATATATCCCAATTAGTGACCCAATATCTAACAACTAAAAAAGAGTTAGCAAAGAAAATAGCTCACTATTCTCCTGGGACAACCGAGAGTCGCTTCGGAACAATCGCCGGCAACCTCTGTCTCCCAAGGTTGGCAAGGCCTAACCAAGCCTCGCTCCCCAACACAACAGACTCAACAGCAGGGAACCTGCACCTCCAAGCCACCAGCAGGAAAGAGAGCGAAGGCCTCTCCTCCTTTCTTCTTATAATCTGGCTTACGTAAAAATCGTAGGGAATACTGGGTAAATCTGGACCCTTCCTTGGTTACAAACTGGTCACCAAGGAAGGCCTAGCCCAAACCACCACACATGGGCATTAAAAACAGGGGAAAATCAGATAAAAGGAGCCACCGCTATCTCCCTTCTTTTCTTTGTCACAAGTGCTCACTCAGTTCCATTCTCCCTTACTGCATCAGAACTGGAAACCACTGGGCCTTCGGCAGAGGCAAGACAAGAGAGGAGAGCATGGGAAAGGACAGCTGCAGCTCCCAGGCCCTAGTATTAGCAGAGCTCACCAGCATGGCTAGTGTAGACTGACAGATGACACCAGTACTGGTGTACTGCCTTTTTATCCATTAGCAGGCCTAGTCTGTCAGCATCCTTCCGCGGGACCTATTTTGCTTGCGGGAAGCCTGTTTTGTTTCTTGCCCAGAACGACTGAAAGCAAGCCAAGCTCTAGCACAGTTTTAACAGTCTGTTTGCAGAAGCAGACGGTCATCAGTACTAAATATTGACATGGTGCTGAAAGAGAGAAAGCTTAATAAAACCCCCGAGATCATCAGCAGTGTGATAGAGATGTGATGCAGTGCATCGCGGTCCTTCCTGAGTAACTCAGCCCAGCTCTGAACACCATCGAGGGCCTGAAGCTGCATCTTGGCTGGGGCAGTGCTGGGCAGAACCAGTCCCCGAGGGAGTGGGGCAGGGAGGGCATGCTGGCCCGACAGGCTCTCCGTGAGGTATCTCCATTGGCAACTTGGCTCTGGGTCACCTGCAAAGAGGTGTCTGTGGAACAAAACTGGAAGTGTCAGAATTCTCACATCTGTTTTAGCCAGTGACCCTGTTTGGTGGCTTTAGGCTGAAGCCAGCAAGCTGGTCTGTTAAAAGAAGTGAGTGGTAAATCTAACCATTGCTGAACTATAGAAGAGGAATACATCCTGTTTTCACAGCAAGGCATAATGATACAATACTTTTAATAATTTCCTCTGAATGACCATTTCAGTGTTTTATTGAAATATTCGACTACCTTTATATGTGTGTGATAGACTTTCAAAATTGAGAATCATAGTGCTTCTATCTTTTTTGTTTCAGTAGAATAGATACTCTTGCAGCTCCTCAGCATGCATAGAGGCACCTGGTGATATTACATAAACATTTCAAGGATTGAGCTATATAAATGCTTTTACCGGAAAAGATGGATAATATTTCACAAATTTCAAAACAGCAGATGTGGGCAGTTTATATCAAATGTACATAGAATCAATATTCATGGGGGGGTTTTTTGCAGAAAAATATGTTCTGCATTTCCTAATTTTAAAACTAACTATTTTTGACAAGGGGAGATTTGAAGTAGAGAAGTGCTGGTCCTAGAATTATATACTTTAACATTTCCAGAATTTCCACTCAGATTTTTATGATCATTTGTTTTCCAGCCAGACATCAAACCTTTTCTTTTGAAAAAGTTCCCTTTTAGAGAAAGGGAGGGGTAAGGAAGCATCTACTGGAATTTACAGTTTTCTAATGTGATGTAGAATTTAAGATCCTACATAGTAATTTTTGATGCATGTCACTTTAATTGGGATTCCACGTAATAATTATTTCTTACAGGTTAATGTTAAGAATTTGTCGTGCATATTGTACGTGAAAAAAAATAGCATCTGTTGCTGTGATTGCTTAGAGTTTGCAGTTAACTGTGTGTTTTTCTGCTTTGTGTCAAAGCTGGTGCGCTTAGAATTTGTATGGATTGTTTTCCCCATGAAATAATTTCTGGAAAATACACTTTATATTTGATTTCAAATTTGGAAACTCTAGCATTCAGGGAAAATAAATGAGTTAAGTAAGAATTTTTGGCATGCTGACGGCAATGAGAGAAGAAACTGTCTTCTGATGTTGTAGCATATTTTGTATTTGGATTTCTCATTTGGAAAAGCTATTTATTGACTGCTTGATTTATTTTTTATTAGTTTCCTATAATCCATTTTCTCATTATTGCATCCTGTCTGTAATTATGTGAAAACAAACCAACAAGTATGTATATTGTATATAAAAAAAAAAAGCTCTGGATTTACATCTGTTAGATTACTTGAGACTGCGCTGTAGATCTATCTTTTCAAATATATGTTTGCAAAATGACTATGGATTTACTCTCTAGAAACACTGGGTTTCTAGTGTGCATTGCTACTCTTAAAGTTCTTCTACTGTGGATAATTCTTTTGCGGTCCATTACTTTTTTTTTCCCCCCTAATTTTCGTTTGCAGTCCTTGCTTCCTGTTTGTGTTACAGAATCCATAATAACCACATTCCTGTGAATTTCTTTCGTGCAGGAGGCCGTAATGAAGTTGTCATCACCGAAAATAACAACAGCATAACTGAGCAAATCACTGATGTTGTCAAACAGCCTGCCTTTATAGCTGGCATCGGTGGGGCATGTTGGGTGATTCTGATGGGTTTCAGCATCTGGCTGTACTGGCGAAGAAAGAAGAGGAAGGGGCTCAGCAATTACGCTGGTAAGAACAGGAGCTTTGTTACCATCTCATCAGGTTTGGTCGTGAAGAGAACAGTTAAACCTACTTAAAAAACACATTGAACTTCCAGCAAAAGTGTTCTGGGTGAATTCTGTGTGCTTGTTTTTAATGTATGCTGTGAAACTGCTGTTGTATGAGAAGCTTCAAATGCACTGCTCGGTACCACATTTCATCATTATCATAAGACAGTATTTTTACATCTCAAGCACATCTAGCATTAAATAAAAAAAAAAAAAACACAAGGAGGATTAACTATACCTCTTGTTCCTTGCTCAGAAGGCACTCTGTTAACAGTGCAGCTCTACTCATATGTTCAAATATGAACTAGACTAGACCCTCATAAGGAAGGTTAGAGAGTATTTGGTCTTCTCCTTAATTCCCATGCATTTCCATGTCTCTGAAGCCATGTGCATGGGAGATAAATGGAGGTGCTTAATCAGTGACTTCATACCTAGAGCTGGAAGAGAAGAGTGATGTGTTAGACAGAGAAGTGTGGTCAAAATTTACTTACGGCAGAAACCATAAAAAGTTTTGTCTTTGAGGTAGAACATGTTGGAATGTCCTCTTGTACCAAATGTTTGCTCCAGTTACAAATTAGTTTTTGAAAACTATGTTTGGAAAAATAAATACACCTGCCAAATGAAAATATTTTCATCTTTCCCCAACCTCCTTGTTTTGTGTATTCAGCTTTTCAGGATTCTTATGAATTTTTAGGAAGTCAAGTGAACGTCCATAAATCTGAAGGTCACTCTGAAGCCTAATTTAACACACAAACCCCCCCTGTTCTTCAGGTATTGGGACAGGTTCTCTAGAAGTGCTTATTAACATTTAAAAAGAGAAAACATTTTCTTTTTGAGAAAGATTTGCCCAGTTGAGGACACAGCATATTTAATGTTGACATTTTATCACACTGAAGTTACACAAGCGCTCTTCTATGACAAGTTATCACATATGAACCTGAGGACACAGGTTCCCTAAGTGGCTGAGCATCTCTAACTCCTTGCCAAAAACCCACATTCATTCACAGCCAAAATGTCCTTCTCAGCTTAGCATTAGCCATCATGAGACTCCTCAGTGTCCTGACTGGGCTCACTAAACCAGAAGGAAACTATCCCATGCTGTTTTTCAATCCTTCCTGCTGGATTTGTTTTCCACTGGCTTAGCGAAACAGGGCAGGTCAAGAAAACATGAGATGAGCAGTGGAGGACAGGAGGAAGGAGAGCAGTGGCTTTTGGACCTTCTTGGTTTCTGGGAAACCTCATCTTGTGTCACCATGTGACCTCTGACGTTCATGGGTTGCGCATTTTTGATTTGGTGTTTTGTTTTTTTTTTTCTTTCCTTTAACAGCAGTGACTTTTACTCTCTGAGAGGTAGGGTGTTGTTAACTGAGAAACTAATATCTCTCTCACACACCTATAGATGTGTTTCTATGAAATATCATTCTAGATCCCAAGATTTTTCATACTAAAGGCCAGCTGGGCTGTTATTCCTCTTAGGAAAGAGTCCTACATAGAGTTTTGGACACAAGCTAAAATTAGTCTTTTCTTAAAAAGGAGAATTATTAGCCCTGTATGTGAGTTGACATACTGGGGGGGAGCAGGGGAGAATTGAGAGCAAAGTCTTTTATACATTTAAATGCATAGCTGTAAGTAATTATAAAAGTCATAATGAACTGTGTCTCCTGCAACTCATTCCTTCTCATGATGTTTGCTGCATCTAAGTGTGATGTGAACATTGCATCATGAAATTGTGTATGCTTTCAGCAAGGAATGTAGATAACAGATCATGCTTCAAAATTCATCCTAATGTTTTCAATTTGGAGAACAGCATGTCCACACAGAGAGTCTTCAAATGTAACTGTTGAAATTCACTGCTCATCTTTCCGACCATCGTCTCTCATTGGCTGCTGGCTGGTTAGTGCTTTAAGCTCAGCTGTTATGTCCTGCTCATGATATTCAACCCCAACTTGAGTAAACTCCAGAGGAAACTCGTGCCCTGCAATTAGCACTTTTTCTCAGGGTGTGTAACTCACAATGTGTCTGCTTTCTTGTTTTGCAGTTCAGTCCTTCACCTTCACCCCTGCAGGTACTGTCCATTAGTCTGTCTCTTACTTCACCAACACATCACTGCAAACATTAGCTATCTAAGTGTTTATGAACATGTGAGATATGCAGAATCAAAACCAAATACAAGGAGAAATACTTGGGCTGCCTATCTGTGATAAAAATGTAGTATTTATTTCCCTAGTGATCTAAGGGGAACATAATAAAATCTGCCACCATTAATGTCTCTGTCATTGTAATTCTGCATACTTACTCATCTAATTCCTTGAGATAATGCAGCTTTGAAAGTAATTTGCAGGACAAGATGCTTGAACTAGCTTGCCATAAACAAGCATTAGTCATATATAACTGAATTTTGATTTTAAAGCTAAAGTATCTTGAACATTTTTGCAGTGGAGTAGTGGAACTTTCTTCCACTTTAGCTCTTAGCTACGCATATGTTTGCTTTACTCTGAGGTGTTCAGATCTTCAGGCAACCTAGTGATTAACTGATGCACTCATTTCCTTTACAGGGATTTTGGAATTGAAGTATTTTGGCTTTTTCTGACTACCCAGTACAAAGCTTATATCCTATTTTTTGTATCTTAAAAAAGATAGCATACGGTAGACCATTATCATAAACACGATTAAAGATATGTGAAGGATAAACGAAGTGTGGCTGAAACAGCAGGTTGCAAACAGCTTGTTCAACATATGGATAGCCAGGAAAAATAGAGTATAGAATTAATAGTAATAATGGATACAAATAAATAGCTTCTGCTCTCATACCTAATCGCAGCATTTAAAAACTTAAAAATAATTGTACCTCAGTGTTACAGTGTAAAAGACTGATAAACCTCATCATTTTCCAGCAGAAGTCAGTAAAGTTTTCTGTGTGTAGTTTAGCTCCTCAGTTTCATTTACCAAAGCTGTCTCCTCTTCTGTCCTCTCTACCATCCATGTGATAGAGTCCAGTCTTCCCACTGCACTGCTGAACCAGTCCTCATGCTCAGGCAGCTGCTTTCTCACTCTTGCTTGTCTTCAGCCACAGCTTGTGTGTTTACCTTAGCAGGAAAGGGCAAATGACTGTCAGGACAGGGGAGCAAAGGTGGTGTCTGCCCCAAGGGCCTGTGACATTGTGAGGGAGAAGTGTCCTTGTGGAAAAGCCCTGGGGGCTCAGGATTGCTCCTCTAGCTCCCAGGCAGGTATGGCCAAGTTAGTGCAAGTAGTGACACAACACTTCCTAACCTAAATGCTTTACTGGCTCTTCTTTGAGAGACAACGTAGGGATTGTTTCCAAAATTAAATAATTCATCTTTGCATTTGGTTCCTATAACTATGCCACTGTCAGCTGTCTTTAAACCCAACTTTCCATGGTGTTTGTAGCATACATTGGCATGTGCGTTGTGCTGGAGCCACAGTGACTGTGCATGATTTAATGCTCTTGATCCCGATGTGCTGGATAACTAGGATATGTCAGAGGCACTGCCAAAAATGTGCTTTTTTAAAGGTAGTTCTGATATCTTGTGGACTTCCTAGAACTAAAACAACCCATAGTTTTGTTTCCTGGCCTATCATCATTTCTGGAGGCACTGAGAACCTAAGTCATCCAGTAGTCAAGTCCAAAAAAACAATCATTAATTTAAAAAAAAGTCTTCCTTCGGACAGAACATAGTCCATATTTTTTATCTTTATATCTAGAGTTCCATAAGAAACTTTGTTAATTCTCTAGTATTTGAATTTACCATTGGTAATATATAATTTAGACAAATGTATCTGTGCTTCTGGGAGTTAGTCACTCACAACTGTGTGTTGTTCCCCTCAAAGTTATGATTCATAAATGGTTTGGGTTTAGATATAATTATTTAGAGAGAGGTATGTAGCTTTCAGAATCCCATCAGAGACAGCTGTCAAAGAAGTTTTACTAAAGATGAATTTATCCTAATATACTCAGATTTTAGAAGGTGCACAACTTTTGTTCAGACGTCTGCTTTAAATCCTTCAGAGAGTTGCAGAACATGCACATTTGATTGTATGATAAAGAGAAATGAATCTTTTAATGGAACATCCATATACTTACTTTATTTCACACACAAAACAAAACCTCCATTATTTCTGATGTGAATACTTTTTGGTTTGTTTTTCTTCAGCTGTATTTGCCTGTATGTAGAACTTAGAACACCAAAAATAGTTGTTCAAAAGTCTGGATCCTGCAGTTTTAGTTTTTTGCTAAAAATATTCTTTCAGGTAATTTTCAGATTATGGGTCATTCACTGGGATCATTTGTTATTTGTATTCTGTTATTAGGAGCCTAAGATGTATAATTTCTGCAGTGAGACTAAAGTACTGTAACACTCCATGTAGGAGAAGAGCAAACAGCAAATGTCAGGCAATCGGTAACGATTTGTGTCAGAGAAGAATAACTGATTGAGTTAAATTCATTAAGCTTTCTGTCTTTGTGAACATATTCATAAGCACTGAGAGATTGCTCAGATGGTCACAAGTAAAGTGACATTGAAAATCGCACCTAAATCTTTTTGGTTACTTTCAGTTGAACTGACTCCAGTGGTTACTGAGCCACAATTCTGTACATCACTTCCCTTTCCCCCATCATGGCTCATCAGGCATTAATTCTCAGTAGTATCAATACTGCAAGACATATGATTAGCTAATATGTTTGTTAGATTACTCTTGATAAGCAGTAGTGTCATCATCTGCAGCTGTACCAAAACTATACATTGTTGTGACCATGACATACTATCAACAACCCCAAATCTGGCACAGAAACAGTAAATACAAGTGTTACTACATTTCAGCCATCACTTCTGTAATGAAAAGATAGATACTTTTGTGAGTTTCTGTGAAAGCTAAAGTACTGCTGTACTGGGGTTTTTATGGTATTTTTCTGGTTAGACTTTACTTGGACAATTGCCTGGATATAAACATGCATGATGGGCTTGCACAAGATACAAAGATAGATGGCACAAAAGAGATATCTGAACACTTCTTGTATAACAGATTAATTATTTCAATGCTGTATTAGAGTGACAAAACAGAATTTGTTTATTTATCTCTTTATCTTTCCTGTGCCCTCAAACTTGTGCCAATATCCACTCACTTGAATACTCAGGTGTTTTCAAGTGTCTAGGCCATCAGCCATGCAAAAAAAAGTAAATATGTATTTTCACTTATGAGTAGATAAGCTTATTTAGTGACTAGTGCTCCTTGGGATTAAAGATTTCACAGAACTGAATAAACAAAAACCAAATTAAAAATAGATAGAGAATCATGAAATGCTATGCATTTTATGTGCAACTCCTGAAACTGGTAAATGTGGATAAACTATATGACAGAATCATCCAAAGGTAGACAGAAGATTTGATGGAATTTTTATGTGCTGATTATCTGTTCTGAGTTAATGCTTATTAAAAGAGGATTAATCTACATTCATATTTGAGAAACAGCTTATCAGAAAAAGGAATGAGACTTGGCTGGCAACATTAAAGTTTTCATTTGCAGTAGGAAAATGTGGCCTACTAGAGATAGGCATACAGAAAGCTTTCTAAAGCTTTCTAAAGCTTTCTTGCCTCAGAATGTCGACTTACTATACATTCATATTTTTCCAGTTCTAGCAGGCATGAAGATTAAGTTTAACCTTGTCAGATAATATTAGTAAATGGTTTTGGTGCCTCCTTATATATTTAATAAAAAGCGTCTGAAAAGCTTCTTAACATATGCTGGTTTTCATACAAATATATACAATATAATTTCCCGAAATATTTATGCATTTAAAATGCACTTTGGATTATATTTCTGCATTTTTACAGTCCTTGAAGTATAAGCTGGTGGGGATTCCTTCAAAATCTCTCTATGCAGGGGTTATTTTCTTCATCTTCTTCTGAAAACCAATCTCATCCCTGCAGGTCTTCAGCCTTTCTAAGAACATATATCAGATGCAAAGAGCTGTTTTGCTTCCTTGGTGATAAAAAGCAAGGGAGATGGGTGGGTCAGTGATAGGGACATCCTTCCCTTCCTCCTCCTGCATTGCCCCTTGAAATTGCTCTGCTGCTTTTTGAAGTGGAGGCAGGATAAATAAAGCCAGCTGTCTGTGTGTTTTATTTTCACAGTGACATCTACAAGCCTGCATTGCATTAAGTCTGCTTCTATTCAGGCGTTTAGACTTGTTTTGTAATTGCAGAAATCAAACTGCAGGCAAAAATGCTGACAAAATGTATGGCAGGGATGATAAACATAGTGCTTGTGTTGGCAGCCTGACCGTATCTTCTGTTGTTAGCTGTCTTTCCTTTCACAACACTGATGCTAAAAGAAAGGCACCTTCTCTATCCAGCCTTAGGTAGCCCATTCATGGATGGCATCAGGAATTTTGTTGGTTTTTTTCTCTGTAGCATCCTGGTGACATGTCCACGCTTCAAGAGGAATTTTGGCACGCTTAATTAATATTCCAGAACCTTTTCCACCAAGCACAGTAAATAACTATAATGTTTCCTTGTTTGTTTTCTCACTGCACACATTGGTATACAGGGTGGAGGGTAAAGGAAAGAACCAGTATTCCCTCCCAGTTCCATACACATCAAATAAGCACAGTCTTCCCCAGGAAAAACAGTGTCACTGCAAGATAGGTTCTTTTTTTATTAATGAACTAAGATGAACCTTTATTCTAAAAACAGTGCTTTTATTGGGAGGGTGTGAGATTAATGTAGGCAAAAAAACCCAAAACAAACCAAGAAGTAGTTCCTACCACAAGGATACACAGGTAGAAGAAAAAGGAGCAAATGCTGTGATACTTGTCTCTTCTCAACAATCTCATATGCCACAGCCAACCTGCAGCAACTGTGGCTCTAGCAGTGAGGTTTTGGTGCCATGTCTTCCCAATATGTTTCTCACAGCTTGTCTTGGAGTTTTCCCATCCCTGACTACCCAGAAAATAAAATGTGTCAGGCAAACATTGCTGCAATCTCCTACTAGCTCCTCCATTTTAGCTTTGCTCTATAAAGGTACACAACGGATATAAATATTTTGAAGACCACAAATACTGTTGGGATTTTTTTTTTCCATATGATATGCAAAGTTAAAATCTCACACACCTGTATGTGCTACATGTTTGGTGACAAAATAACTTCAAAATTATTTCTGGTGGATGATAATCTGAAAAAGAGCATTAATCCCAAGCATTTTTTAGAAAATATGTTTTACTGGAATTCCCTTAAATCTGTACACTTTATTATTATGGGTTGTTACCGAATTAGCCTTTGTTTCTCATTCTCCTTATTTCTTGTCACTTTGGGAAATGCAGAAAGTTGAAGAAATCAAGTACTAAATTTGAAGGGGAGGAGGAGAAAGGAAGCAACATCTCTAATGTACTTTTGACTGAGATACTTTGAAACAGCCAGGCAGTGCCCACATTTTTGCATATTCATGATAGTTACACCACTTCAGATTATTTACTTTTAAGCAATGAGTGATACAGTCATTTGACAGCCTGTTAGAGAAAGTAGCGTTGGCTCTAAAATTAATTACCTGCAGTGTATTACCATGTCTTGTTTTCGATAGCAGACTTTTATTTAATACTTTTCATACTTGCATTTTGATTCTCTTTTCATTAATTGGTTTGATTACATCCTTTCAAAATTCAGCTGTTAACCATTTTGATGTGACATATGACTGCTGTGATTTTCTGATATTGATATTAGTCTGCTCTGCAGTGAAGGATAATTAATCACCCTACCCAAGCACTCTTCCAGCAGAGCTTCCAGAGGGCCAGTTTTGTCCCCTTTGCTGAATGTAGACTGTGAAATTGTCCTAGGAGTTAATAAAGTGACAAGGATTCTATAAGGTATCAGAAATATTTTCCCAGTGGATTTATGCCATTGCTAATTTTTTTAATGATCACAGAATTCCTATTGGGAGTAGTAATTTTTTCTGATTAGAATAGTGTATAATACTCTAATTCTGAATTAGTGTAGTTTGGACCAATACTTGGAAAATCTTGCAAATATTCTCGGAGCTATAATTTAACTATGGGAATGTATGTCTTACAAAGGTAAATAGTATTTCCAAACCAAGCCCTATTATTAAAATATTATTAAAATAATCTGGCCACAGACTTTTCCATTCCTCTTTGAAATTCAAACCCTCATCTTGTCAGAGGCCTGTAAGGATGCAGGTGTCCAGGACATTGATATAATTTAATAGTCTGCCTTATCTATGCTTGACAATAAATAATGGGATATTGCCACTGAGGACCAGAATAGTCTGTTGGCCTTGACTCAAAATATTTGCCAGTGCTTCAAAAAGGAGCATCAAATGTTGTCAATTAGCACCTCACCAGTAATGTGGCTTTACCTGTATTGCCCTGAAATGTAATCCCATTAATAAGATAGATAAGGAAGAGGCTGGTTTTTGTCAAACACCCGTGAATGGAGACACAAAAACAACTGCCTCTCTCTGATTATGTCCTTGACATCCCACATGGATGGAAGACTGGAAACACTGTTTCTTCCTGGTGACACTGGCATGTATGCATTTATGTGTGGCTGCTAATTCTTAAACTCTTCTTCTGGTGGAAATAGTGCAGCTGTATGATTTTTTTCCATCTCTTCATCTGTAATAGAGCTGCCACCTCTTTCCCAGGACTGTTTGTCCTGGGAAATGGCATATTTGTTTGGTGACATTATATTACTGCATTATGACATGATGTTATTAACTCACTGGTGCAATGTCATTATGTACTGAAGCAAAAGCATGCCAAGAAACAATTTCATCACATGGCTCGGTCTTGCAAGGCAAAGCCATGTGAAGGGACCTGTGGTAAATTCAGGCCTTTTGCCCAGATGGCTGGTTTGCCTTGCAAGCTGCAGAGCAAGTTGGTGTCAGTCAGTAACGTGCAGTGAACAAAATGTAACCCTGATATGCTTTATCCTGTTCTTATAATTTCTGTACTTTATTGAGTGATGATGCCAACAAGCCTCCTATCTTGGACACTGAGCAGTTTGAATTGTTACTTTTAATTATTACTAATTGATTTTTTCCCTGTCTTATATGTGTGTGCTTGTGTGTGTGTGTATGTTTGTTCGTTTTGTTTTCTCCCAACCAAAACACAGTCACTTTCCAAAGAGGAGATGGAGGACTAATGAGCAATGGAAGGTATGTTTCTTTGTATAAAGGTCTTTCCATTGTATTTATTTTTAAAATTAGGGATCTGAAACATGCACTTGGGTCATAACAGATCATTGGGAAAACTGACAACACTAGGAGGAGTTAAGTAGCTTACCACAGGGTTTAATGACCTATCTGTTGTGCACTTTGTAGGAATCAAGCCCAGATGTTTCATATCTCCCAGATGCCCTGGAAGAAATGAGTAGTAAATATCACAAAGAATGTGTTCATTTGTTATCAGGATGTTTATTGCATTAATTAGACATTAGCAAATGAAGTTGCTGTTGTTTAAGACTCCTTATTGGCTCCCCCTAAATTGCTGTGAGTGAACAATTACAGTTAATCGATCATGAAATAAATGATTCATGGATGATGAATAGGCTGTAGATTGATAGGACTGGATTCCACAACTTTGGCTACTCAATTGAAATTGATAAAAGCTGATAACGCGCCCATATATCCTCATCTATTTTCCCTTTGCCAATATGGAGATTGTAATTAGGCCCTGGTAATAACTTCCAATCTCCTGTTTAATCAATATTTTAGCAAAAAGAGATTAGGCCTAATGAGAGCAAGTAGATGTGGCGAGAACATGGCTGGGCCTTCTTATTGTCGTTTCCATGGAAACTGATGTTTCTCTTAGGGATTGTGCCAGGCAGGGGTCTATAAAGTACAATGATCGGAGATGTTGCTCCAACTTCATGAGTGCTTTAATAACCTAGAAAAGCTCCAGAACTGCGGATGGCTTTTTGTTTTCATTTGGGGAAAGGGGGGTTGTCTGCAGGAAATTATTTGTTTTCCCTGTTAAATACAAATACAAACAATCCACCTGCCTTGCTAAATTTCCCTGTTTGTCCTGGGGTGAGAGAGATATGGCACCTTATGGCCCGAGTGTGCCTTCTCTTTCACGTGCTCGCTGTTTAGTACTGCTCTCAAAGCTGGGAATTAGAGGGATATAAAAGCCATGCCTTAGTGGCAGATAGAGATAGCTGTGGACTTTCCATTAATCCTACTCAAACCTGTTTGCCTCTAAACCATCCAAGAGTGCTCAAAGAAAGAGTTACCAGCCTGTAGATGACAGGCGTGCATTTGGGATGCAAGGGAAGGAAGAAATAGTAGCCCAAAGTCCTGGAAATGGCTGATATGGAGCAATCAGTTTGAGTGATGGCTCCCTTGAGGTGGTAATTTATCATGCAGCCCTGTTGTAGGATCCCGTGATGGTGCTGCCTAACTCCTGTTTCACACAGACAACGGAGTTCATTTGGATTCTGGCAGAGTCACGACGGCTGCCTAGTCCCACTTCTACTGACAAAGTTGATTTGTATATAACCTTAATTAACTGCTCAAGGTCTTTAAATCATCCAAGGCTACACAATTTTAAATTGAAATAAATTAAAGTCTTCTAAATTGTTAGTTACCTGTGGTGTTAGGAGAACAGTGATACGGCTCGTTTGGTCACTGGTTGTCTCACAGATGTTGTAATTTTAAATATACATGTATATATTTGTATGTATATCTCTTTTTCTTATTCTGCTTCAGTCGACCAGGTCTCTTGAATGCAAGTGACCCCAGTTATCCTTGGCTTGCAGACTCCTGGCCTGCCACAAGTCTGCCAGTAAACAACAGCACTAGTGGACCCAATGATCTTGGCAATTTTGGTCGTGGAGGTAGGTTTCCTTTTATTAAGTCACCATATAGTATACAATAGGCTCCCATTAGTTAACATTTATGATAAATACTGTGTGATGTTTTTATCCTTGTAGTTTTATGTGTGATTCTAGATTTGATTGAAAATTTACTTTAAAATGTTAGTTTTGCTCTGTTGCTTTTTACTTCTTTAAAAGGTAGGTCTAGTTTTTAATTTACCCCACAGTGGTGAGACAGGGTCTGCTTATGATCTAAAGAGAAATGTATCTGTTGCTCAACCTCATTCCCTTTTGTGTGGAGATAAGCAATCTGCTGGGCAGGGGAATATAGCCAGGGAAAAAAGATGTCCATAAGAGCAGAGGAAAACTGGGGGAATGCAGGAAGGATGTTCCTTCAGCAGAACAGGAGAACATTGTTGCTGTCACCTTGCCCATCCTCTTCCTACTGATGGCCTGCTCTCAGTTTCAAGCATAATCCATGAAGAATTATGGATTCTTCAAGACTTAAGGAAAGTCACCAACTTTCCTTCACTTTGGAGGAAGGAATATACAAAGGGGACCTATTTAGATTTTTTTAGGGGTTTGCTTCCATTTTGAATTGAGGGAGGAACTTTGGGGAGATGAGGTAATGATTTATTATTACGATGATGAATCTTTAGAGGGGTTATTTTCTTTCAAATATTTTACTCAAATGGGAATTTCAAGAATGGGAATTTTAAAATTCACAGTAATATTCACATCTGTTAGTCCCTTGCTTTCTGTGATAGCACAGCTAGTTCTGCATAGTAGTGTTCAGAACAAGACTTCCTAATGTAAATGAGCATATAAATATTTTTAAGACATCAATAGGTAAACAAAAATCAAGAAAACCTTATATATCAAAAGTGGATTAAAATGTAAAAAAAAATCTATAAAACCATCAAATTGATAAATGTGAAAAGAATTCAGTTTTGAACTGTACCAGAACCTGCTTCTGAAAATCATCCCCCATATCAGTTATACATTCCCATGCAAAGTCTCTTGCCTGTGGTTTGACTACTGTGACTTCAAATTACAACAAAACACACTAGATTTATATTCTATATAAAAATGTTGTAAAGCTCTTGTCATACAAAACTATTTAAAAGTAAGCAAAACTTTTGATAATATTTAGAAGGCAACTGAATATCTGCCAGGTTCTTTGTTGTGAATATCTTGAAAATAAAACCCCTCAGTACTTTTCCATCTTTTCTTAAGCTCACATAATACAGAAAAATTACCGTTTTCTTTTAGCATTTGGCTCTACATGACAGAAATTGGAAGCATGTTTTGAAGTTTTTGGCCTCAGTGTGGATGAGGCATAGGTCCAAATTTGTGCAAGAGATAAAACAGTTACATTTTGAAATTCAGCAGCTTAATTCCACCCATGATCTTTACAGTTGAGCTCACAATTTTATTCTGGCTGATTTGGGACCACTTGTCCCTATCTGTTTCAGTAGCTGAGATTGGATGTTTCTGCATTAAAGATGGACTAAAAGTCAGATGTCTTTCAACAGATATATATATAGAATATTAACATTACAGAGAGAACTCTTACTGGTTAAAAGATCTATGATAATATAAAAGGTCTGTAAGCATTTTAAAAACAGTAAAGTGCCAATCAATCACTGGAAAGTCAGAAGCTGAGACAAGCAGTTCTGACATTGCCCTTAAAAGTGAGATCCATGTTACGTCCCAGATAGGCATGTGAGAGCAAGGCTGTGAGTGGGAAGCACAGGTTGGACCTGGAGTCATGTAAGGCCACAAAATGGTACTGCATCTCCTGAGGCAGCAAGAAAGAGCTTCCCTCTGGAAGTACTTCGACGCTATTTCATTTATCTCAAGAATTACAAAACAAGTTGGATTTTGGAGAGTTCTGGGGAAAGCATCCAGTGGGAAATGCGTGTTCAACTTTGGTCTGAAATGTACACTGTGGGTTTTTTTGCTATGACAGCTTGGTGGGAAAATCACACTTGACTTTTACTAGGTGACTATGGCACTTTGTAAAACGGCAATTTAATAGCTCTTTGAGTGCTTAATGCATACATCTCACTGAGGTCAAAAAAGTAATCCATGGTTGTACTGAAAATTCCCAGAATGTCTGGAGAACCTCAGCTTATTAGTAAGAAAGACTGAAAGTTCTTGGCTGGTGGAGAGCTATGCAACTTTCCTTTCAAGTGTGTGCAATGTATCATTCTCCATTTTAAAATGACTGTATAGAGATGATACCTCTTCATTCTTGCCAGAAATGTGCTCTAAAAGACAGATGTATGTCTGAGTACTTGAGAGATGAGCATTTAGATAGTTTTTACTTCCCTAAGTCTGCAAATCCAACACAGACAGGTTGAGCTGAATTTGCTTCACTTGATACATCAACAACAGAATTTATTTACTAAACTTCAAGCCATTATGCTTTGACGAAACCAATTGCGGAAAGGAAAAATCTTCGTACTGTGGATGAAAGAAAGATGGACTGCATTTGTCTCTCACATCTCATACTGTATTTGGACATAGATGCCTTTCTGTTTGTGTACAGCCCCTAGAAAGCACATTGCATGTGTGCAGATAGATGGCAATAAACCTGATTTTGAAATATGAGCTGTAGTTTGCGTTAATTGTAATTTTTTTGCACTTACAACTTATCTGCAGTTATAAGTTAATACAATTAAGATCTTTTAAATACTTGATTATGTCCATTTCCCTGTTGTCTGCAAAACCAGATCATGCTGATAGACCCAAATTTAATCTCTGTTTCTGCAGTGTCTCTGCTGAGCACTTGTTACTGCTGTATTTATTGTTAGTATTATGTTGCTGCCCTGAGACTGCAGATGTTATTAGGGTCCATATTAAAATATTCATTGTTGCACACATGAATGTAACAGAAAATAGTTCTGTGATCTAAATGTTCATCCCAGGGAAAAAAAAAACATGCAACCAAACCACACCAAAACAAACAAACCAACCAAAATAATTGGAGGAGACAATGATGTCACAGCTCATTGCTGGATAAATCTTTGAGACAGTGAGAGAACAGCTGTATTCCTTGAGGTTTCACAAAACCCCCATCTGAGTCTGAAACTGAGCCTAAGCCCTTGCCTAGGTGCAAGAATCATCTTTTCTTTTTGGGGCTCAAGGTATATCCAAGTTGGATGTGCTCCCTAGAATGGGATGTGAACATCCTCACTGTAGGAGTGTGCATTATCTCAAGTGTGATCTAAGAGTTGGAATCCATATCTACCATCTGCCTGTAGAAAGAAAATGGAATATAAATGATGCTTTTAAATTTTTTTTTTAACAAGTACATCCCAGAATTGATTCAACTTTTCAGAGTCTAAATAAATTGTAAAAATAGTACCATTTGATATATTGACTTCTGAGATAGAGAAGGAAAAGGATTATCTGCTGAGCTGTGGTTCTCCTTGGAACATCATGCCAGTCATCATTAGATTCTTCACACATCAGTAATCTCAGTTTCTAGATCTAGTATTCCACCAACAAAGGTCACTTCAGTGTTTAGTAAGGAGAGAGATTGCCAATCTATCTGATTAAATATATAAACTACACTGTGTATTATGATTCAAAAGATGTAGAAAAGTCAACATATTTAGTTAAATGTGTTGTACTGTTCTTCAGGTAAATGTACTGGAGTATTTGAACAAGTTGTTCTCCGTTATTAACACTGCTTTACCATTTTGAGGGACTGATCACTTAAATCCCTTCAGAATAACAGATTTTATTTCACATACCAGGAACAACTTGGTCTTGTCATGTTTTTCTTTGTGGAAAAGGAGAAATGTACTAGCTAATGTCAAAAAGAAAATTAGATAAGCTGATGCACAAAACTTCAAGGAAATCAAGGTGATGCCCTTAAAAAATTACTTTGAGGGCTTTGGCATCCGTACAAGAGTTTTTCTACATATTTTCTCAGAAAGTTCCCTCTATGATTTGTAAATTCTCTCCTTTCATCATTTCCCTGAAGCCCAGACAGCTTCATTGGTTCTGACATAGAATGAACAATTGAAAACATTCTTTAGGAGAGAAATATTCCAAACTTCACTTTCAAGCTGAAGGTATGGAGAAAAAAAAAAAAAAGATGGTTTTAGGCAGTGAGACGTGAAGGACAAGTGGTAGGCCTGTCACAGATGCTGATAGCTTGGTGATGGTTGTACATCATCTTCCCTTCGTTGGCTCATGGACCTGTCTCGGCTGAAATGCAAACGTGCAAAATGACACATTTATTTCTCATCTTAAACCTTGATACTTTCAGGCTTCGTGTACATCAATGATTTGTTTCATTCCCCTGTGTTCACCACAGATGTGCTGCCACCAGTGCCAGGGCAAGGAGATAAAACTGCTACTATGCTTTCTGATGGAGCCATTTACAGCAGCATCGACTTCACCACGAAAACCAGTTACAACAGTTCCAGCCAAATAACGCAAGCTACACCATATGCCACCACCCAGATACTGCATTCCAACAGCATCCATGAGCTGGCTGTCGATTTACCTGATCCTCAGTGGAAAAGCTCAATTCAGCAAAAAAATGACCTGATGGGATTTGGTTACTCTCTCCCAGACCAAGGCAAAGGCAACAATGGTAATTACAGCTCTGATTTTCCAGAGACCTTGGCTTTGTACTGTATCATCTGTGCATGAATTAGAACATTCTTTTTAGTTGTGCGAGATACTGTTCATATTTACCTTAACTAATGCTAACATTCCTTGCATGCACGCTGAATGTCATACAATCACAAAACGCGTCGTCCTGCGCTTTTATTCCTCTTTGTCCTGTGCTATTCACCAAGCCATCTGCCCTCCATCAGGCTAGGCTAGGTGTACCTTTAAAAATAAGTAAGTTAAAACTGCCACCCCACCGCATCTGCTGTTGACTTGCTAACTGCATGTGTTGCATGTGCTTGTGCTGTCGACTAATCCCACGATGCCACTGTGACCTTTGCCGTTTAACCCTTAGCCTTGCTTTACATCCCTGACTACCGGGTGGCTGAGGGACTGGCTAATAGATTGCCACACAACCAGTCACAGGATTTCAGCACCACCAGCTCCCACAACAGCTCCGAAAGGAGTGGCAGCCTCTCAGGTTGGTTCCACCGCCGTGGGCAGGGGAGTGAGGGACGGAGGGGTGTTGGCGAGCGGCTCGCCGCAGAGGTGGAAAGACCTCCCAGGCACAGGTTGAGAATTCCCATGAGAGTACCTGCCCGCTAGTAAACACTGGAAAATATGACGTTTCATTGGAACAGCAGAGAACACTGTCACATGGGCCTCTACTTAAAAAAAAAAAAAAAAAAAAATTTTTTGGCAAAACCTATTTGGAGATAACTGGAGATTCCTCCCAGGTGGTGCTTGTCAGTGCAATTGCCAGCCTTGCCTTGTCACATCCCTTCCCTGACAGCACAGTTTGTGGAGCAAATGTATTTCTGCATCCATTCTCAGTTTATAGGCCTCCCCACACTGAACATCATGAGGAGAGTAATATTTTTGTTGAGTGCTCAACAGATCCCCCACTCCCACGAGCTATTTCTAGATGCTGTTCTTCAGTGAAGCAGCTCAGAAATAATTGTAGGGCCCTGAACGATGACTGGGGTTTCAACAAATTGTGCCAAGCCTGCATACAAACAGGATGTAAATTTTATGTGTGTGCTGCATGTTCTATTGGAAACATGATGCATTTTCATCAGATGAAAATGACTGTAGTACATGTGGTTGTGTATTATATTTAAACACACCTTTTTCCTGATTTCTTTAATTTTGCTTACTTGTTGCTCATGTTATGTATAACTGTCTTTTTTTTTTTTTTATTTCAAAACAAAAACTGAAGAGGCAGCAATTAAAAAGAAAACCTCTGAATTCCCTTAACTGAAATATGAGAGAGCTGAAGGGACTTAACCTTGATATTCATTCTATATCCCTAGCCTTTTGAATTTCCACTTTAAGCTGGAACAATTGCAACAGTAACAGACCAAATCTAGAAATTACTTCTTTATGTCAATTTAAATTACTATTCAAATTGAATCTTGAGATTAGAAGCCTATAATCATTGGCCCATAGCTCAAATAGCCAAATGTGTTTGCAAGTCTTGTGTTCTCAAGGGGGAGTATTAGCTGATTTGAGTGAGACTGAAAAACAGGCTCATGGCATTGACGGAGAGAGATCTGGGAGCGAGGTTCATACAATACTGCAAGAAAAGTTCTTGTTCCTTGTATGTGAGATGTATTGGCAAGTAGCTTAGGAAATCAGCTTGCTCTCCAGGCTGCATGCAAATGCAGAAATTGATGTGCTGAGGTACATATGTGGCAGTTATCAGAGGGCAATATCACACTTTAGATATGTTGACAGCTATGGCTGCCTAAGAATTTTCTCAGAAAATATGAAGTTTCCTTGGAAAATGCCAGTTAATCAAAAGCTGGATTTTGATCAAATATTTCAAGTGAAACATATTTTGCATAGTGTTTGTCAGTTTGAAATAAATCTTCTGAGGACATGAGGAAACTTCAGCTCAGTCTTTCTATGGCCAGGGCATTCCTGTTTTGATCAAGGTAGCTCACACCTGGGTGCCCCAATGCTCAGAGGAGTGTCAGATTATCAGAGTGCAGAGTCAGTATTTTACTCTCCCTTGCCCAGTAATTATGCCTTTGATACAGGATAATTATGTCTGTAATACACAAGGAACTGGGAGAGACCTTCAAATAGTCTGATAATTAAAGCATCACCGGAGTCAGAGACCAGCTTTGGTTACGTAGTCCCCATCAGGGTGAGCAGGGACTTGTTCTCTCACCTCCTTGGTTGGTACTTTTAAGTACTACTTATTATTCTGACTAAGTTTCTGTCTCTCTTAAATTAATATCATGAGAAATCCTATCCCACTGTGGAATGAAAAATAGCTAAAAACTCAACTGCTCTATGAGGCAGGGAAATTTTGTAGCTGTACTTTGCACCGCTCCCAGATTATATCAAAGCTATGATCATCAGCCCAACTGGCAAATTCTTTTTCCAGGGCCTGATTCATCTAGAGATTTAAACAATATAATTGAATTTCAGTGTGAGGAGACATTGAAACATCAAGCATCATTGCTATGGGGAAACAAGGCTTTGCTGCATCAGTTTTCAAACACACACCAAGCACTATGTATTAGGTGTCTGTTCCACTAGTGTGACAGTGGAGTAACTCTGCCTGTGGGGACAGAAGAGAAATCTCCTGCCCAACTATACAGTGTAGGCTGCTTTCCCTACTAGTAATGACCTTGGAGTTCTCATCTTTGATTTCTTAATCTAAATAGTTCCTTGTCTCCCTGCTTCACTCTTTCTAATAACTCCATTATCTTTAACCTTTCACTCTGAAAACCCTCAATTTCGAGTGACTCCATATTAGCACCCCACACATCCAACTTCTATTGTACTAGTCTCCTAAAGTTATCAAGATGCTACACTTCCAAAATCTTCCTCACTGCCTCAATTAATCTCTAAGCTGAAGTTGTTCTCTACGTTTCCCTTCTCTGGGTATTCCTAGTTTAAATCCTCCTGCAACACACACACTCTTATGCATGTGCTTTTCTCCTAAAGCAGCCCCTCCTGCCTTAGCTCTACTTATGCTGACTTTTCAAAAATTTCCCCGCATCCCACAAATTTAAGTTAACCTACTTCCTTTACACTGTTCTATGCCCCTGTTTCTTTATCCACTTTTTGCCTTACCTGTGCTTTGAAAGCTTCATTTTCCCTCCAGAAGGTTCATGTATTTGTTCCTTTATCTCCACCATCACTGGGGTTTCTTTTCATCATTTGAAATGTTCCTTCCCTTTTCAAGAAAGCTTCCCTCTCTACCAGGCTTCAAAAGGAGTCTTGCGTCCTAATAGAGGGAATATCGGCTCAGTTCACACGTAGTGAATAACAGGATCTTGGCTGGAATTTACTATGTGTCCCTCCAAGAAAAAGAAGGAAGAGCTCTGATCTGGAATTGAGTACTGGAAAGGAAAGTCTTGTTTGCAATGTGCAGTCAGGCCAATTAGGAACCTTGCTGGACTTGTTGCCTGTCTCTAGCAGGCACAACTGGAGGTGAAAGGAGACGGCTACTTCTGAGTCACAGAATCACCTTTTTTCTTCCCTCTCTATCCTTTCCTGTTTTCATCCAGCTGACATTTGGAGGTAACAGAAGAAAGCCACTGTCTCCCAAAAAATCCCATGTCATGTGCTTTTCTCTGTTGCTAGAATCACACCTCCTTCTGGATTCCTCTGTGCTTAAATCTAGAGCCATGGCAAAGAAGGTGGTGCCTGCTAGTGCACACTTGACAAGTCAGTTGTGACTTTTTTGAGTCATTGATTCATTTTTACACTTTTTTTTTTCATAACTGATCCTTATAAATCAACAAGAGATGTCAGTGAGTGGGATGGATTAGACTGCGCTCTCTCAAACAGGAAAGGAATGAGTGATGGCCAGCTGGGTACCCCGCTGAAAAGGCATGTGACAAACCATTCCTCCACACAACAGTCCAAAGAGTCTCAAAGCCGCAGCAAAACAGCAAAAACTAGATGGGTCTCCAAGCAGTCAAGGGATTCAAAATGTTGTGCCATTCTTCCTCTTAATGAATTCCTAACAAGAAAAAGAAGTCACAGCAAAATAAAAGAAGAAAAGCAAGTGGGATGAGAGCTTTCTCTGTAAGATCAGTTTCTCACAAATGGAAGTGTCTCAACTGGAGAAGCAGATATAAGGACAATAAGAGAAGAGCAGAGGGCCTAAACAAAATGCATTGCTCTCTTCGTTTTTGCCAGCCTTATCCATTAGAGTTACATATCAGAAAGAGAACCTCTTCTTCATAGTGGCACGAGATATTTGAATGCTGTGAAACAGTCCTAAAACATTGTACATGACTTCCTGATCTTTTAAAAAAACCCTGTTTCTTTTGTTTTGACAAGTTAGTCTTGTCATTTTGGCTGAAAGATATTGAATCTAACAACAGCTCTTTTAGATGGTGTCCTCAACCTCTATGTTTTCCACAGAAAGTGATTATGGAAAACTGTTATAGTCACACTGGATTCTGATATTTGAAATAATTTGCTATATTTTATTATATTTTTATCTAGGAGTGAATTCAAGAAGTCATAAAGAACAGATGAATAATATCAGGAAATATATTTCTGATACAGAAAGACATATCTTTCCTTGTTTGTGCACTACTGTGGTGCAAATGTACAGAGTTTTAAAAAGAATTGATTTTCAGCAAATATTCAGAATATTTTTCCATTCCATTCTATTATTACTTATAACCTTGTGACAGCATTAGCACGTTGATGCTGATTCTGCTGAGATATAAATACGTCTTCTTTTTCGGGGCATGCCATCTGGAATAAGAATTTTTTTCAAAGAAATGTAAATGTAGCTAGCTTTTTTTTTCCACATTACATCTCTAACATTTTATTTTTCTTTTTGGATTTGCAGGTGGCAAAGGAGGGAAAAAGAAGAAAAACAAAAATACTGCCAAGCCCCAGAAAAGTAATGGTTCAAACTGGGCCAGTGTTCCCCTCCCACCCCCTCCTGTGCAGCCACTTCCAGGCACAGAGCTGGAACACTATGGGGTGGATCAGCAAGAAGCAGGGTAATTTTAATTTTCTTTTTGTTTTGAAGAAAAATCTGTGGTTTGCAGAGATGAGGCCTGTTTTGTTATTATTTTTTAATTTTGCTAAGCGACAATATTATTCTGTTTCATTTAAAAAAAAAAACAAAAGTAAAAGAACGCCTTATCCTGTAGACTTATTCAAGGCTAGGGAGGAGAAATGTTTGAATAGCTTCTCTGGAGAGTGACTGAAGGTGGAAACAAAAGTGACCTTGCTTTATCATCATGTAGAGCTTCACTGCTTTCCCATGCTGAGAAGTATCTCACTTCACAGGTAGCTTAATTGAATTCTGTTGGGACTGCATGCAGCTGATGGGACTCAGAGTGAGAAAGGATGACATAATCTGGCTCTTTGTATTTTTTCACTGCTTTGATGTTTAAAAATATTAGAGCCAACAGAACAAAAAAAAAACAAAACACCAAATTGGATTATTTTTTGAAGATCAACCAATGGATAATAATGTTCTCATCGCCTTTTAGAAGAAATTTCACAGTTGAGGAAGGCATGCTAATTATAGGCTTTTTGTTGTTGCCATTTCAACAACTCTTAAGTTTCTACAACCTTCCACTTATTTTTGTATAGCTTAAAGTTGTTCTCAAGGACACATAATCACACAAGGAGTGCTAAGTGAGAGGAAAGAGACATTTTCTGCCCAGACAAAAATTACATAATGGTTTTTATAAAGTGTAATTACATGACGTGCCAGGTTATCAAACTCCGGAAGAAAATCAGAGTATACAGAAAGATAGTTTACTGTGGTCAGTTCTGTTGGAGCCTTGGAGAATAATTGTTCTGTCAGGGACAAATTTCTGCCTGTTTAAATACATGGATTGACCAATATTTCCTAAGGATGAAACATGTTTTAAAAAAACATTGTAATAGCTTTACTGAATAAAAATATTTCAGGTGTTATCTCTTTTGTAAGCATGAAGCATTGATCATTACTAGTTTTATAATGAAAATTAGAGAAATTACATATTATTTGAGTTTATACCAAGTCCTTCAACTCTTAAAATGAGTAACAACTAACTGTGTTAGTCAGTGGAATTCTTTTTAGAATTAAGGCCCATTCTGGCTGTATTAGAGTTAGAATTTCAAAGCAAATATAAGGGAAAATTAATATCCTTATTGATTGTAAGAGTTGTTTAAATCTCAAGGCAAAAAGTGCATATAATCATGGTGTTCTCTATACTGTTATAAAAGGCTAAAATAAATTTAAAATGGTTTTACAATATAATACTCGTCTTTATCAGTTTACATCTTTAAAACACATTTGCGGCCATTTCACTAAAACAATTATGCTATGGAAGGCAAAAAACTTGGATTTTCTTTCAGAACAATGAAATAGCATAAAAGGTAAACGGAAATACCTTATAAAAAAAATCCCTTGTGACACAGGGCTTGACTCCTCAGTTGCATAAAGTATCTGTAATTTAGCTGGAAGGAATGATGTTGGTCACCAAGACAACATTGGTTATTTAAGGATAAGGTAATCACCAGCCTTCCACATTCACAACAATTCAGACTTAGTTTTTCTGCCGATTATCTTCTGAATTACTCTTCTCTGGGTTTTGTAGTGCCTCGTTAACAGTGACTGTAGCTTGACCTCGTAATATGCATTTTACCAAACACACAAAAAATTTGAATATTACACTTTCAGTATCAGTCTGGAGCTGTAATTTGCAGCCACCTTTGTTGAAGAACGGATCTGCAATGCCCATACTTTCTCAGGATGTATCCAATACTAATGGTCGTTCTGTATTCAGGGGTTGATCCTGTTTCTGTGGTTTTCAACATGCTAAAATGGAATGAATCATAGTCTGTGGTCCTTTATGTTGCCTTTAAGGTGGATATAGTGGGTAAAAGAAACCCAGAACAACAACACATTTTTTAAACTGTTTTGTTTGTCTTGGTTTGTTTTGATGTACTCTGTCTGTGACAAGTTCAGTGTGTTTTAATTTTATAACTAATTAGATGCAGAGTAGATGCTTTTGCTTGGTTTTATCTAAACTTGACAGTAAGAAAATGCTCATTATTTAGTCATTATCATCTGTTTAGATTTTTCACTAATACTATGCATGTTCTTGAGCCAACCCCAGTAAAAGCAGCCTGCATATTTTTACTTGACTATTTCTATTTCTTGCTATTGATTGCACCTTAAAATGGAATATTAGCTGCTGGATGTCAGTATATTTGATACTTATTTTCTGTCTTTGGAAAAAGTTAAGAAAATAATACCTTTCACATCAAAGAATCTTTTCTGGTGAGGCCTAGGGAGGGAAACATCCTTTATTGCAACTGTGTGTGTAATGAGATAGAGCTGTTATGGAATGTGCCCATTATCCATCACCTTTATTTTTTATCTTGAAGGAAAAAAAATCTGTCAGTGTAACGAATCAAGTTTTTTAATAGCAAAAGATTGTTATAGGATGAAAGTGCTGAGAATACCATAAAAACTATTAGAAATATAGAGAGTCATGTTTTTTAACCAGAACTTAATAGAGGCTTAATTAATGAAATTACAGTCAGAGATCTCTAATATAGTTAAGGTGCTTAGATTTTAATAAGTGTACTTGAAAAAAGTTGCATTTTCACCATATTGGATTTACTCAGAAAACCAAAAAGAACATGGATGTGACCAATACTCTGTTGGTACCGGAAGTTTCCGTAACTAAATCATTTATGTGAGGTGTAGTTGCTGTGTAGTCTCCTAAGTTTGCTAGCTCTTTCTTGTAGGCTTTTTTTTTTTTCCCCTTCTCTAAATGCAGGTTAGAACCTGCGGCTTTTTTGGACATCTTACAATATGAAGGCAAGGGTTCTTGTACCTGAAATCTTGCATCTCAATGTCCCAAACTTCAGCCTTAGGCTGCTTTCCATTTCAAACAAAATTTAGGTAAAGATGAGGTACTTGTGCAGAATCTTTTCACTAAGAAGTCTTTTTAGTGAGAAATCTTTTTACTATCAAGCTGAACATTTGGGGATTTGAAGCAAGAAGGGTCAAAAGGCGAGCACTTCCAAAGCTCATTTATTCATCACTGAGAAGTCACCAGGGAGGACCTTTTTGCCCTGTCCCTTTTAAAGTAGAAGACATTATACCTAAGCATGAGGTTGAGAGAGCAAAAGTAAGTGAACGAGTTGTTGCACTGTGCATTTTTAGCAGCATGAGTTAGGATGGTCCCTTCAGCCTTGGGTGCAAATGTCACGAGTGAGTATTGTTAGGAGAGAGAAATTACAGCTGGCCATATCTTAATTGTCTGCTGAGGATGAATATGTATCATGTAACATTTTCTTAAATCTCTGTATTATGAAAATAGTAATGATCAAAGAGTGAAAAGCTCCTAAATGCCAAGGGTTAAGATCCAGCCTTTATTCTCACCTCTGTACACGTACATGTATTTGTGTATCTATATATTGTTATATCTGCATATATATTTAAAGTAATATCAGTGTTAATTACCAAATATGTCTTCCACAGACTTTTGGATGGTTAGATCAAGTTGTTTTAGCTATCCAGAATCTGTGCTTTTAAAAAGAGTCTGAATAAGGAAATGGTAGTCTAGTTAATTTTAGAAATCTATGAGTTTTGCTTAAAGAAAATGTTTGTTAATAATACAGGTTCTGAAACTTCTCCATCTCAGTGTTCCCAGCATTTTTATAACCTGGCTTCACACTTGAGAAAACTGACAGTAATTAATTTTTCTCGGGGAAATTGGTAGTTCCTTCCTTCCGAATCAGAAGCCTTAAAGGAGTATTCTTAAACTGGTTTGAGAAATTAACTGTGTAGCACAACACATTGCCTGCCTGCATTGCAGAAAAAAAGGACCTTGTCAGCAGTCCTTGAAGGTGGAAAGAAGATAAAGTGACTTAGTAGATGATGCTTGTAAAATGGCCTTTAGAGAGTGAGATGGTTTGACAGTGAAGGAGCTGTGAGAGCTTTTGGTTGTCTGGTTGCCTGTAGAAAAAAAAAAAAAAAAGCTGTCTGTCCTGAGTTATTTTGGAATACACTGGGAGTTGAGAAATGTGTGCCGATGCTCAAGGGACCTGCTGACTGACTGGGTGTTTTGAAGATGGGAAAAGTAGACAGTTGAGATCTGAGTGGTGTGATCGTCAGCAGAGCTGTGCACAACTGAAGTTGTGTTCAGATTAGGGAACTACTCTGGGGAGATAATACACAGGGAATGACCACAGTCACTAAGGCCTGTACACCTTGAGTGATGCCACTGTCTCCAAGGGACAGGATCCCAAGATGATACTGTAATACAACACTGAATTGAAAGGTCCTGTGATGAGTAGAGAGACTGAAAAGGATTGACTTGCTGGTGAAGCTTACATAAAAAGTGATAACTAAATATAAAGCTTCTGTTTCTAGCCCTGATCAGATGTAGCATCACCCCTTACAGCTTTGGTATAAGGCAAAAATTGAACTACAAACACCTATGAGAACACCTCCTATATATGAAAAGAGAAGAATTTGGTGTCCAAGAATACTGGTAGCTGTTTATCTTTTAACTTACTTCGGGCAGGTGTGTTGAAAGTGTTCAGAAATTCAGCAGTGTCTAGGTGAGTCCCAGTACAGATTGGTTAGGAGGTGGGGTGCTGGCAGATGTACCTTATCAGCTGGTGCTGTGACACAGCATATGCTTAAGGTCACTGCTGCTGTGACATGAATGTATTACACATCAGAGGAGATACATATTTGCAGTGTGGGAAGACCAGCATTTATGAGGAAAGTATAGCTTCAAAATAGAAACAAAGAGTAAATTTATCAACAAAGGGGAGGATGGAAGTAAATAAGTGCATAAGTGCAACTATGTAAGGCTTGCTCTACCTTTTAAGAATGCTGCTATTTTCGTGTCTAGGTCAATCTTCATGCACTCTCCTAGATTAATGATCCTGGAAGCGAGTTAGTTCATTGCTGTTGTTGATTGTGGTGTAACATTATCTAATCACCATTAACAAATGTGATAATGGGTCAGTAATTTTTTTGTTGCGCTTCTTGTTCGAGCTGCTTAGCTGTTGTGGGAAAAATTAAACTGACTCGGTAAGGACAATTTAAGCAATTATGACCCTATTTTCGTTAAATGTTAAGAAGTTCCACTGCATGTGAGGGTTACAGCTATAGCAGAAATCCCGCCTGCCCTTTACACCCTCTACTATGTGGCAGATATGAGTTTTGATAAATTTATTTGGGTTTCATTTTAGATACGACAGTGATGGTTGGTGTCCGCCTTTGCCAGTTCAGACCTACCTACATCAGGGCATGGAGGATGAGCTTGAAGAAGATGATGATCGTGTTCCCACACCCCCTGTCCGAGGAGTAGCTTCATCACCTGCCATCTCCTTTGGGCAACAGTCGACTGCAACCCTCACGCCTTCCCCACGAGAGGAGATGCAGCCAATGCTTCAAGCTCACCTTGATGAATTAACAAGGGCTTACCAGTTTGATATAGCAAAGCAGACATGGTAAGTGGTTGAGGGGGGCACTCGTGATCTGAGAAATGAAAGCGTCATCATCATCATCATAATAATAATAATTTATTCTTCTATGACATAAATATTGACCATGTTTAACAACATTTCAATAATATTTCTGAAGAAGTAAAATGGAAGAAGAAATAGTAAAACTATGTCTGGAGTGTGAAGGCCTTAAACATTAGTAGGTGCTTTTTAAATCATAATGCTTGGTAATAAGTTAAATCTTGTCTAAAAGCATGTAAAAACAGTGTTCCTCTGAAATTTTACATATGCTCAACTAAGTAGTTAACACCCACCTACTGACAGCTTTTATACATTCAAGAGTACTCTCTTTTCAGGCTAGCAAAAGATATGAATTTTCTGGGATTTTCAAAAATAATGAGATTCTAAATTCCTGAAAATCATTGAAAATAATGATAGTCACTTGAAATAGCACTAGAGCAGCTTTTACATGGTATCACATGAGAATGAAGCATTTGCATCTCTGACTGTAGTTTGAAATACCATGAGAATTTCTGATTCATAGGAAAAACCCAGAAACAGTGGGAAGAAAGTTGTTAGTATTTACAAAATGGATCTAGTGTTTTAGAGTGCTTTATGCTTATTTAAAGGAAGAGCAAGCAAATACCACAGTAACATTTCCCCTGCAAAACAAACAGAAGCAATCTCTTCAGGGACTGAAAAAAGAACTTGTCAAGTGCACCAGGCTGGGGATACGGTGAAGGTCAGTTGCTTCCTGGATGTTCCCTAAGCAGCAGTTGTCCTTTTACAACTTTTCTGCTCAGACAAAGCCCGTGAATCTCAGAGGAGAGGAGCAGAGCTAGTTACTGAATGGCACACTGCCAGCAGAGGAGCAGCCTTTCTTCGCTGGTAAATAAAGCCACAAAGTTATTCAGCTTGAGCTCCCGTAAATAGATCAGGCAGGTAGGCAGGCGGTGCCAAATCAAAGCCAGCTGTTTTCCCTGGACACCGTGGAAGCCTCGAGGCTTGTCTGCAATCTGCACTCAATCAACAGGGTACTTTGGTCCCGCTGCAATGCCACGCTGCCAAGCACAGACCCCGACCTGCCTGTGGGACAGGCCCAAATCCCAGGCAGCAGCTAGACCTGGCCTATTGAAGGTAGCTGACTTCTGAGCCAGCACACAGATGCACACCCTGCCAGCACAGTGACTCGCTGCTGCATTTTGCAGCTGTTACCCTTTCTACGCCCTACAAACCTCGGGTTCCAGTCCAGGCACCGATAATGGAGTAGGACAGTGCAGCAAAGCCTCTTGCAACTGACAGGAAAGGTCTTGCTCCCTCTTTGGAGAAATGAAAATTGATTGGGAACTTCCATAATGCGCTTAGGAATATACAGATTTTAATGTTGCTCTTGGGTAAGGTCGCAGTAATTGAGCCTGAAAGTATAGGGGGAAAAAAAAATCGAGGAGATAACTTTTTTTCATTCTGAGACCTTATAGGTATTGGAGTAAATATTGAGGGTTGCAAATACAAGTGATTTTTGTGCAATGGAATTGTTGAATGCTTTTATATTGTTTGGCTGGATATGTGTCATGCTACTCAAAGTCAGTAGAAAGTCCTCCATTGCTTTAACTGGGAAGGGAGATTCCTTAGTTTTCTTTTTGCAAAGTTAACCTGTCCAGTGTAGAGAGAGGGGAAGGCAAAGCAGAAAGATGAGACCTGTCAAATAGGTTACTGTGGGAGTAACAGGAGAGAAATATAGAGAAGAGACAACTAGGAATTTAAGAAAGAGCACATTAGAGATTACTGGAAAAGTACATAATCATTATGGCCTTGATCCAGCAAATCACTTAAGTATATGCTTAACTACAAGTACATGAGAAATTGACTTCAATTGTTCTATCACAAGCTTAACATTAAGCATATACTTAAGCATTTTGCTTGATTGGGAGCTAATCACACTGTTTATTGAGGGTTAGTTAGATGGTAGTGCCCTTTAGCACAGTGTTTTGAACACTGCATAGCTGAGAACCTGGTGTCCAGGAAGAAAAGTATTCAAGAACTGCTCATCAGAAGGGGGTTGTATATCCAAAAGGAAGCATTTGCTCTGCAAATAGGGTTCAGAATAAACTGTAAGTTAAAACCTACAGAGCGGTGGAGATTGATTCCAGTGGTACGTAAGATTTACTGTGACATTCTCATATATGATAGATTTGCATTATGGGGGGCAGGGGGAAAGCTCAATGAATAAAGAGAATTACTGTACTCATTGAGTGTAGGCAATAATACGGCACAAAGTTTTCATTGAAAATGTAGTAGAGCACAGAACCAAACACATGACAGCTGTAATTTTTTCTGTTATACTGATGTCCAAGCAAAAGAGCAGCAGAATCCTGGGTCCCATCCAGAGTGCTGCCGATTTGAATCAGGCCATGGCACCTCATGTACACTAACCCAAGGATTCCTACGTGCCTAAGTTAGCAATTTTAAGCGTGGTGCATGCTCTTATGCCAAGGCCAGTCATGCCTGGGTCCCCTAGCACAGCTTGTGGTGTACCTGTTGTGGTGTGGGGAATGCTGCCTTGAAAGCTGATGGTGTTGTTTTCCTCTGTATCCTCTCAGAGACCAGGCAAATGAGATTCCAAATCCCATGCTTGCCTTTGGCCATTTAGCTATCCTGTGGGTGGGTTTTTTTATCTTTGTTTTTCTTTTTTTTTATTTGTGACTGCTGCATACAGTAATTTCACACATGCATGCCCTAATACTGCTGCAATTAAATCAATTAAACTACTTGGAATAAAGCAAAATGAAAAGGCCTCACTGATAATGTGTTCACTGGGCTTGAAAATTTCTCCTGTCCTGCTGGCCATTTCCTCCTCCTTAGGGTGACTTCTGCTTCAGGGCACTGTGTCTGTTTGAGCGAAAGGAGTGAAATTTAGGTTTGGTTCAATGTGTGATTTGCAAGGTGGAATATTGGGTGAGACACTTAAATGCTAGGCTGGGATTCAGAATTGTGCCTTTCTGTGGGTTTCCTACCTGATTTATGCAGCCTCTGTGTATATCGCTCTTCATCTGTAAAAGGACAGTCTTGACCTTCCCCATCCTAGAGGAGGAGAAGTATATTTAAGACTGGAAAGTGTGCAGGTACTCTGGTATTAGAAGCTATGGTGAATAACTGAACTGTCTTTTCTTGAGTTTAACCTAACAATCACATTTTGCAAATCCACTTCAGGATCTGCTGAAAAGCGTGTATTTTGTTGACCGTGGGGTACAAAGTCTCATCCATTCTGATAACTTTTCCTTTTTGTTTGTGCAGGCACATCCAAAGCAATACACAACCTCCTCAGGCTCCCGTTCCGCCCCTAGGATATGTATCTGGAAACCTTATTTCAGATTTGGAAACAGATGTTCCAGATGAGGATGATGATGAAGATGATATTGAAGAAGAAACTGTAGAAATCAGTAGGCCACTAAGAGGTCTAGAACATACTCCAGGCTCCAGTATGGACAATCTAGACAGCTCTGTGACAGGTAACCAAACACAGTTAACAGTGACACCAGCTTGTTCCTAACAGCAAAATACATCATCGGTCCAATACTTTCTAAGTGAAAATTGATTCCACTCTATTTCTGTAACGTTTAAAATGTGTTAATACTAAACACTAAAGTTAAAGAAGGATTTGGGAATACTTTGCTTTGCTGCAAAATGATAAGAAAATTCATGAATTTTAAAAAGCTTTAAAGACTTGAAAGAAAACTCAATTATATCCTAGCTTTCATGAAAAGTTCATTCTACTAGAGAAGCAAGGCAGTTACATAAAAAGGAGGGGGGAGACCTCAGCTTAGGAATATATATTTCATAAATCAGAAGCAGCATAAAAATGTTATCTTAAAGCACTTTCAGATATTTTGCTGGGAAAATGCTTTCCTAGATGAACATAAGGAAGTTAAAGACTTCAGAGTAAGTGTAGTTAGATCACCACAACGTTTATTTCTAGACTAAATGTAACATTTATGTAGGAAAATGTGTATTTTAAACCTACTTTGTATTGCTGAATTTAGTAATTGTTCCCTTTCAGTAAAGCTATTTAATTATTCTGACCCTCCTTCCCTCACTGCTTCTTGCCCTTTGCATGCCTTGGAAAGCTCCATCATCATCAAAGGGGATCCAGAAAGCCCTGCTAAACTAATGCACAGGATCTGAATGAATAAAATGGCTGTTGGAGAAATGTAGGCAGTGAAAGACATTTGGTTTTAAAATACATAATGTCCTTTTCTTAAGCATCCGTGTATTTCCCTTCATGTTGAACTTGGGCCTCTATATGATATAATGTGTCCATAAGGTGCAGGGGTACTAAAGACCCAAATGTCCCAAATGTCCCAGTGTCCACAGCTCATGAAAGCTAGTGGGTGCTGCTTCAGTCTTTGATCTCAGCAGGCAAATACTGATTGTTAGTTGTACCTTAAGGGAGACTTGTTCAGTACAACTTACTACCATAGTGCCACTGAATTCCATCTCATTGTTCTGGACCTTTGAAATTCCAAAGATTGCTATTCTGAAAACACTGGGCAAATATGACAGTGATGGAGCATCAATACCTATAAATTTTCTTCCTTTTCCCTTGTTGAATGAAATAGTGTGTAGTTTAATCGCACTTTCCAGGTTTTCCTTCACCCTTGGGCCAGACTGCTTACCAATCTAATTAAGATTTAAGAACTGTATCTCTGCTGCTGTGATTTGAAACCCAGATTCAACTGAAGGCCATAGAGTTAAAGTTTAAATCCCTGAATTGAGAAGGTTAACTTATTAGTGCATGAGTATGTTAAGTCACTTTGCTTGAATTTCCAGCATAATCTCCTTCGGGCTATAATTCTGCATATTTTTGCATATTTCACTAATGGCTTAGAAGTCTTTCCATTAGGAATGCAGTAGGAGTTTTGCAGTGGTAATACAGCAATAAATAAAAAAAATTGGATTTGTATATCTTTTTCATTTGGTATATATTAATATGCCAATGTTTATGTATCTGTAAATGAGAAAATTATTTCACATTTGCATTTTCACCTGATATTTTGGACCACCATACCTAGAGCAAATAAGGAATAGCTGTGTTCCTGTTCCAAGTTGTAGACTTTTGTGTTTATTACAATTTAACCTTTTATGAATAACATTCAAGTTTCTTATATTTATAAATCTTGTTGTATTATTGGAGTGTTAAAAGTGTAATTGGAATGTTAAAAACTTCCTGCTGTGTTATTTTAGAAGAAATTGGGCAGAACCTGATTATGTAGACTGGGAGTGTACTTAAGGTGATTTAATGCACTCCCACTCATCACCACCACTATCTTGATGTGGCCTCATCCAGGTGAAAATTAAAGGTTTCCTTTTGCTTTTTCTTTTGGTTGTTTAATTACTAGGTGGATCTGTTCCTTGATATGGTTCACTGCATGGCAAGGTGTGTGCTGGCACTGCAGGAAGGGAATGTGCAGCTGGAAGGGAAAGAGGATGATAGATTACCCCTTTACCTATAGCCAATGCTCAAATTGACTTAAAACAATTAGAGAACTACAGCCTTACAAAAGATACACTCAGAGTGTTAGTCTAAATGATCTGTAAAATGGCAAAATATACAAATAACAAAACTGCTTCTGTTTTCCTCATTCACTACATGGGCAAAACATTGATTTTAGGACGGTTTGTTTTGGGCTTGGGGTTTTTTTAGGGGTGGAAGGAAGCTGCTTATTATTCTTGGGATTTTTTTTTTTTCCAAAAGAGAATCTTAATTTTTGTTTATCTGTTTCTGTTAACTCTTCCAGGCTGCATTTACTCTTGTTAATGAGGGTATAGCAAATTGCTTTCATTGTTTCCAAGCTGCTTCTCATTCTTCAATTTGATTGCTTTTAAAATACTGTAGAACAACTAAATTGTTTTATCGCACTGAGAATATATAAGCTACTTCTTTTCACAGAGCCTTTGGTGACTTAAACCAGCATTTTCCTAGGAATTTTTAGACCATGTTTTCACTTCTTTAAACATTGTATTTGAAAATGGAGACAAATGAGAATATCTGACCCAGATGAAGCAATATTTCTGTTCATTTTGAAGTGCCTTGTGAGTTCGGTGTTTGTGAGAAATCTATACTGACATCCCTTGGTCCAGATTTCCCTCAAACAGAGTTGCTGTGCAGGGAGCAGGGCAAGTTTCCTCACCCTGTACTGTTAGCATGCTCTTGGATTGAAATGGTGCTTTGTTCTTCCTGGCTGAGCTGAGACCCAGGATTTCGCTGAGTGCCAAAATGTGGGATTCTCTGAGGGGAAACCCCGGCACTGCGTGAGCCAAAGCGCAAACTACTAAATTCCTCTGACACCAGAGTGTTGCTGCTTTAAACTGTTTAAAAGTCAAGTTGTCTTCCAGGCCCTCGAGTTTTAGTTACAGCTAGCTGAAGATTCAGACAAGGATTTAATCTGCGCTATTAAGCTTTTCTCTTCGCAGGTGGCAGAGACATAATGTTGACGTGTATAATAAAGTGCAAAGAAAGGAGGAGTGCACAGTGACTGTATCTTAACATTCTCCAGATATGGCAAAGAGAACTCGGGGAGGGAGGTTTGGATTTTAATGTTTGTGGGATGGAATATGAAATTAAAGCCGAAGTTTTTCTCCATTTCCAGTTTGTTAGGATGCTTAGTCACTGATTCTGCTTTTAAAAGAAAAAAAAAAAGAAAGAAAGAAAAAGAAAGAACTGGAAAGCAGTGGTAAAACTTTTGCTCACTTGACTGTTAATTCACGATTATTTAGGGTTATTTTTTGCTTTCGGAGACACAATGAAATATGTATTTTCTTTTGCTTATGTTTAATGTTTGCCTTAATAATGAATTGCTGTGCAGAGTTATGGCATGAATGATCACAAAGAGTCTGTTATATTATTCTGCTTTATTAGATTTAATTAATTGCATGTGATGACCATATAAGAAATTAATTTGCCTCTCACTGAAATCACTAAGAACAAGGCTAGTTTTTTCAGATTTAAGTATTATGGTTTGGGGGTTTTCTTTCCCCTCTCCTTATTTTCTCCTCCCGCAGCACCACCAGTGAAGCTGGTAGTGCAAGCTGTTGTATCTTCAGTCCTGGTGCATTTTAACTGAGGGGAGAGATACACCCATCAACCAGCATGGAAATTAGAACAAGCCCTCTTTTACCTAACTGGTGCAAAGTGACATAAACAGAGAGATATTCCTGTAAACAGTGCTACAGCAAATAGATAATTTTTTTTTTTCCAATAGAATTGTATAGATCTGAAATTATAAAAATCTCTGTAGGCTGTATGGCTCAGCAAGGAAGAATATCCCTTATTTGACATATTTAGGTCTTGGTTAAAAGAATCACTGATCACTGTCTGCGTGGAAAAAGTTTTTCATTCATTGTGTCTGAGAACAAATGGAATAATTCTTGAAAATTGCACAATATCATTTTCATGAGCCATATTTTACCATGGCAGAGCTCAATATTTATATTGATTTGCTTAGGGATACCTATTGCAAAAAATTCTATTTTATAAGCAGTTAAGACAGATTGCATTTAATAGGTAGAATGTGTTTCATGGATTAAATACGTGCTCAGAAAATAGGAAACTGCTACTTTTTGTATCTCATAAAAATGGTAATGCAACAATTAGCAGGGTCATATTATAAAGCACAGACTTTACTCTAGCTTAATGGATCTAGGGATATGCATTCATCAGCAACGATAGATTTAGCATAAAATGACATGTAAATGAATTGATGACTGATCATAAATTAATTTTAGTGCTGAAGAAGTAATAGAGACACAGCAAGATGCCACTTTATCATAGTATTTTACTGCTCAGCAACATTTGAGCAACTACTTAATGTTCTGTGTGCATTTCTTTTCTAACAGCTTGAATAAATTTGAGAATTTTTTTGTGCCTTTCAGCAATATGGAAACCAAAAAAATCTCAAAAGATGGAATGCAAACAGAAATAAATTTGGCTAAGTGACATAAATTCATTTTTCATTAGATGTTTATGAAGGGCATTAAGTATGGTTGAACCTGTGAAGTGCCAAATACGTATGCATGATTTTTACCTCCTTTTGTTTAGTGTTTCCTGCCTCAAAATAAAAAATTTAAAACTTAGGGGTTTATTCCAGGCATATACATTTAAATATTCAGGCATTTATGGTGAAGTATGATGTAAAGTATGAGAAAAAGTCTAGTTTTTGAAGTGTGGTCATAATTATATTCTGCATTTAGACCCTTCTATTTTTGATTCTTATTTTGGTGGTACAATGACTGTTTCCCCTTCTGTTCCATCACTTTCACCAAAATCAGTGGGCATTTCTTCTTTATAATCATGGCAGTGGTCAGACACATCTAAGAGAGGATAATGTCTTTCTCTTGTACAAAGGCTAAAAGAAATCTGTAACTGATTTCAGCTGAAGTAGCATCAGTCTCCAGGGGTATCACCCATTCTTCACAAACTTAAGGAGTCCATCTCTGTTCCATCAAGAAAAAA